CGTCATAACATAACACAACATGTCCTAATATAACACAACAACATCATACATCTCAAATAACATGTGATAACAATCAAAACAACATAGGTGTTATTGTCACAAAAACAATCGATGCCAAAGTCAAAAAATAATAACGTTAATGACAGTATTGAAAAACAAAAACAATAGCAAAAGCTTAATTATATCACCACTAACAACAAAAACAACATTACCATCAGCAACGACAATAGCAACAAAATAAACAACAACAACCGCTACAACATCAACAAAACAAACAACATCAACGACCACATCAACGAAACAAACAACATCAGCAACAACAACAACAACATCAACAAAAAAAACAACAACAACCGGCACGACAACATCAACAATACCAACAATAACCACTACGATACCAGTATCAAAAACGTTTACAGCGCGAACGCATAAACCACAAGTATAAACCTTGGCAAAAACATCATAAACGTTAATTATAATAATGTTACTCACGACAAAAACATCAATGATTTAATACTAAATCTGGTGATAGAATAAAACACAACCAAACTTGAAAAGTAAACCCAAATGGCAGCCATGCAAAAAAAACATCTACCAAATGTCAATCTAAGCATCAACCATGCAACAACAGTAATAAAACATCACCTACAAAAACATCAACAACTACCGAAACGTCAAAAATAACAACAATACAGCAAACAACAACAACGATAACTGAAACAGCGTATCAAAATCAGCAAACTTGTTAACAGAAACAACACATCCCCACAAATAATAACAACAACAACAGCAACAAAACCATAGCAACGAAACAACAACAATCACAAGCTAACGGACAACGGCACAACAACAATAAAAATATCACAGCAACAAAACAACAACCACAACAAGCTAACCGACAACAGCACAACAACAGCAGTAGCAGCAGTAACTACAAAAACACCACTAAAATGAGATGGTGTGGCATGTTTATGGGACGTATTGATGATTTAGTCGAACACTGCCTGATGTTTTTGTTGTTCGCGGCTCCTTATATCATGAGAAATCATTAACGTCGTAGTCGTCTTCTTCCTCCTCATCAACACATTAACCGTTACATTTGGCCATCTCATCATATTTCATCAATTTCATCACATCATCGTCATGGTCATCGCTATCCTCATTATTACGTCATCATCACGTCATCAGCAAGATCAGCATCATTATCTTTGATACAGTCACAGATATCACTGTTTAAAGATCTTTATATATCGGGAGCTCTCTATACAAGGCAATAATGAAGCTACTTCATTCAGAATTGTTACTTTAGTGACAGCAAAAAGTGAACGCTCTTGTCAAACGAAACATCTGTTACATTAAAATGTCTCAACTGTGATTAACATCCCATCAACCAAACCATCACTACATTAACAACGAGACCAAGTTGCCAACCACGACGGCCATAAAGCCATAGTTTCATTTCTTACAAAATCATAACAAGCAACTCAACTTACGTAGGAAAAAATCAATGGCAGGCGTTAAAAAGAACCAGCAAAATACAACTGGCGTCATATAACCCACACACTACACAACAACCACAGCAAAAACCACAACACAACAGCAACAGCAACAACAACCACAATAACAACAACACAACAGCAACAACAACCCCAATAACAACAACACAACATCGACAGCCACAATAAACAACAACTGCATCAACTGTATCAATTTTCTTATCGGGAACAACAGAAATCAAACATCCAAGAGCAAAATTAGAAATAGCGGCCAGAAAATCTAACGACATAATTCAGCAGTAATCGCACGTACACGCACTTACACACATACGCAACGCGCGCACACGCGAAACGTACACACACGCACACAAATCATGCATACATTCACGTAAAAACATTCTCACCGATGTTTATTATCTACGCACACGTCATAAAACGAATGTCCTGAAAATAGCACAGACACATCATTATAATTACGTAACGCCAAAGATTATTATTAAAAGAATTAAACGGCGTTTTTTATGAAAACCATAAACCTGGACACCCCTTCTTTATTTCCAATGGAATTGTCCGAAACTCCGAAAACTAAGCTAGTCTATAAAATTTATAAATCGTTAAACTAAATTTTTGAATTTTATGAAAACTAATTTTTTAAGGTAAACGTAAAAAACAACTGAAGCCCGATTAAATTTATTAAATATGGAAGTAATCTTAAATGCAAAGCAAACAAAGTGGAAAAAAGGAATATAAAATGATATATAACCATATAACGAACCAGCCAGCGTGAATGTTTGACGTAAAACCGCGGTAAATAAAACATTAAATGTAAAATAATCTTGCCATATATCGGTAAGAGTAGGTAGGTTGGTAAGTAGATAGGTCGGTAGGTAGGTAGATAGGTAGTAGGTAGGTAGGTAGGTAGGTAGGTAGGCAGATAAAGAAAATGAACACGTTCAATGGAATAAATTGGTGAGAAATTACGAAGAAGATGATTATTTTGATGATTGGAAGGTGATGATGATCGCACGGTGATGATGATTGCATGGTGATGATGATTGCACGGTGATGATGATTGCATGGTGATGATGATTGCATGGTGATGACAGCGATTAAAATGGCGATGATGATGATGATATTGATGATGATGACGTAATATTGAGCGAACAGTTAAGAAAGAAAAAACTGACATTAATTTATTCAACTGACTAGAAAGCCCAACTTTCAAAATGAGATCAGAAAATAAAATAGATCCTAAAATTGGAATGCCTAGAATATCATGCATAAAAAAAAGAACATTAAATAACGATGGAAAAAAACCCAAAAAAATAACACTACATAACATCAAGAAGAGTTTCGTCTCTGACGTCAATAACATCAATAAATTAAAAAATTTCGGATGACATTAACAAACATTAAGAAAGGAACTGACATTAATTTATTTAATTAAAATTTTTTTTCATTTTTTTTTTTATTATTCACAAGCGCGAATGAGTAAACATGTACTTATATCAGTGCCTTAACTAAAATAGAATACAGAAACACAAAAAAATAACTGTGAAACTCATATACTCACAATATAAACAGAAAAGGGGAAAAAAGAAAAACTAAAAAATATCAACATCCATCAAAGATTACATTAACACATTTCAGCGAACAAATGAATATACCGCTAAAAAAGATCATTAACGACTATAAATCACGACTAGGATTTAAAATTAACAATCAATCAATCAATCAATCAATCAATCAATCGATCGATCGATTGATCAATTAATCAATCAACCAACAAATCAATCAATCTATCAATTAACAAATTAATTAACTAATTAACTAATTGATTGACATAAATATTATTACACGTTAAAAAATGTAATAACGTTGTTATCACTGAATCATTTCCGCTGATGAAAAGTCTGAAATGAAATAAAAAGTCATCTTTATTAGTTGAAATATTTAACAACCTCATCATATCACCCTCACTGTATAATTTAAAACAGCAAATCAATCAACCAATCAGCAACAAATCAACCAACCAATCAATCAACAACAGCGAACCAGTAAACTAACCGAAGCAGACGCAGCAGCTGTCCTCATCCAAACCTGCCCATCACCCGACAACAGGTTATCACGTGAAAACTTGCTTGATGACGTCACGTTGGAGTGGGCCGATGATGATGATGATGGTGAAGATCTTTTTAAGTCATTCATCTTCCGTTTGTTCTTCTTGATGACATCACTATCAGCACGTTGCTGTGAGTTGTTTTGAAGTGTTGTGTCGGAGTTTCATGCAGGGATTGAAATTAACATTCAGTTAGAATGGATAATAAGGAATAAATTACTCCATTCCTGAAACAAAACTCAAAATCTACTGAATTACTGAATCTAACTATAAAACAGTATCGGTCGACCACAGCATTCTCTGTTATAACTATCAATTCAAATACACTTTTCTCAGAACAGATGATAACACAGGAAAGATGACAAGTTGATTCAATTCTGTATTCAATAACATAATGTACACTTCAATCCTATCCTTCTTTGTAGCGAATGTATTAGAGTGAGGTTTAGTTTAGATTTAAAGTAGACAGACATGTAACAGTGTAGATTAGAACGTGTAACTGATGGAGGTTTGGACTGCTGTCCTTTCATCTGTCATATTGCTTGAAAAATCATATTAAAGTGCTGAATTGAAAACTATTGGGTCATGTCGCTTTTGAGAAAACTGTAGAGAACTTGAAAAAAATAAACTTAAAAATGATTTTAACACCAGCCCCAACTTGTTTATTTATTTATAGAAAATAAAAGATAAGCGTCTAACAGGTGGCTGGCAGCAGAAGATGATGAAGATGAGAGTGATGAATGCGATGACGAAAATGATGACCACCCACAACCATGGGCTCTCATTGGCTGCCGTGATGATAGCTTCAACCACACTCAACTGATGATGACAGTGAAGAGATGAAGATACGATGAGGAGGTCGGTCGTTAGTGATGATGGTGGTGATGTAATGAGGACGAATGACAATAACTTTTGTGATGATGTTTACGGCGATGATGATGTCATGCTGACGGAGGTTGATCCTGATGGTGCAGTTGCAGAACGTGAAAATATTGTTAATGACGCAACAAGGGATGATGGCAATTGGAATTTGATGTCACTGATGATAGCACTGATAAATTTCCAATTGTGATAAACGAAGCCACTTCCCTATAGACTTGTTCACTCATTCTAACTTTTCACTAACCTTGTCCTTCTTGACCTTCGAAAATTCAAGGTCATGCTTGTGCTTCCACGTCTGCAAACTCCACGCCCTGACATCCCTGACACTGGATGCGATAATGAAGTTATCAAACAGGATGTCAGGCTGCATGGACCACAACTCCAACCCTACGGCACCCTTCGTAGTTCATTCAAACAACATCTTATCAATTATTCATACTTTTGACACCCAACTCTATATTTTAAAAATAATTATTTTCTTTGGCGACGAGATGGTGTAATGGTTAAGGCGACTGGCGCTGATGTTGTAGTGACCGAATTCGAACGCAATGGAAATCCCCGCCAAACAAAACTTCTATTTGATGCAACTAGAAAATTAGTGATGAATATCATCTCAAACAACAACAGTAGCGCTAAAAAGATTAAAACCAAGCAAGGAAATTAATAAACTGTCAGTACGTGTATGAGTTTGTTTTATGACTATCAGTATTGAAACTCACAATGGAAGACATATTGTAGGGCAGCGGATCGTAAAAGTATTTGGGATTCAAAATCTTACGAGGTAACCATGGGCCCTTGCGTGGTAGGTAAGGGGAAAAATTATTAGTTGAATGATTGACTGATTGGTTGATTGGCTGGTTGATTGACTGATTGGTCGGTTGGTGGATTAGTTGTTTGGTTGGTTGGTTGGTTGTTTGGCTGGTTGATAATGGAGGACGAAAGGATAGAATGAAGAATAAAAGAGAGATAGAAAAATGAATGAAACCTTAAAATACATAACACAATAAAAATTAACATAACTTTATCACTATCTATCTGAATCTAAAAAAAAAACTTAACAACTCATAGCCACCATCACCTACCTTTAAAATCTCACCCACCCAACGAACCATCACAGAACATACCTGGTAGTTGGGATTGTTGATGAGTGGGGCACTCCAGGGCCCCTTGAATTTCGGGTTATTTATAAGGGGGGGTGTCCACGGGCCGCAGCCCAACGCCGTCTCGCAAACGGGGTTCACTAATTTTTCAAAATTGAAAAAAAACTTTCTAAAAAAAAATGACTTATTAAAAATTCGCATTATGAGTTTATTTTTTACTAAAAAATTAGATAAATGACATATATTTTGGAAGGCAAGAAATAAAGTTAAAAATAATAACAAAGTCAAGAAAGAATACCATTTATGTCAATTAAAATAATAAGAGTAAGAAGAAGAAAACTGGCATAAAAAAACAATACTCACAACAAGTGCAATAAAAAGAACCATAAATCGATCGCCAGAGTTAAGACAAGTGCTCACACACACTTACACACCAAACACACGCACACACCAAACACACGCACATACACACACGCACACACCAAACACACACACAAACACACACAGATACAGATACATCAAAATGTGACATAAAAAGAAAGTAAATTATAAGTCGGCATACAAAACATGTATAAATAAAACAACACATACATATGAGACATACAAAAGCGACAAATACAACGAAACATCAACCAACGAATCAATGGTGGTTCCCAGGTGCCATCAAGCTCATCATCCCTGTGGAAATGGGGTGGGATTTATCTTATATTTTAGAATTTTCAACTAGTTAGTTAATTAATTAAATTATCGGTTAATTAATTTTAAATTTGAAGTTACCGTTGTTCATTTGTTTATTAATTAATTAATTAACTTTAAATTGGAAGTTATGGTTGTAAGTTTTTTAATCATTTTTAAAATATTTCTCGATATATTTTGTTAAAAAAAACCATTTTTAACGGAAAAAATTTGCCAATTGACTATCCTACTTTGATATTTGATAATGTAAGACTGGGATGAAAACACATCTTACCAGTCCTTAGGCTTGATAGCTCTATCATCTGGTATCCATTCCTCCTCCTCAACCAGCCATCCATCCGGCAGTTTCGCGTTGGGATCTGGAATCATTTCCGGTGCTGTTTCATCCCTAATGTGTGTGTGCGTATGTGTATGCGTATGTTTGAGCGTGTGAGTGTTTGTGTATGCGTGTGTTCGTGCATATGAGTGTTTGTTTGCGTATTTGAGTGTTTGCGTACGTTTGGCATGTAAAACGACATGTAGGTGTTGTTGTGTGACTTTGTTATTTAAGCATAGAGTTGATGTGAGGGTCAAAAATAGAATGCTGGATTGAATGAATGGATGGGTGAATGAAAGGGTGAATAAATGAATGAACGAATGAACGAACGAACGAACGAACGAATGAATGCTCACCAACTTTCTGGCTTCACTGCATTGGCATCTGGAACTCTTATTTGAAAAGACAAAAAAAAAAGAATTTAAACTAATTACAAATATTTGTACTACATTCACTTGTTTTTTTGAGTGTGAAGAACACAAACACAAATTAAAATTACAAAACCACATTAGATTAGGATAGGAGAAAATTATGCAATTTTAGGAAGAGATAAAACAAAAATCGGTAGAAACAAAGACAACAAAAATCAGTAGAAACAAAAACAAGAAGCAAGAGAGAGAGAGAGAGAGAGGAGAGAGAGAGAGAGAGAGAGAGAAGAAGAAGAAGAAGATAGAGAAAAAGCGGATAGAGAAAATTTGAAAAAAGATAAAAAAACAATAAAATGAAAGACAAAAAGAAAAATATAGCAGCCAGGTCAACTAACTTGAGCCTGTCATCCCAGTCCTGCGGTTTAACATCATTGACGTCGACAATTTCCTCGCTAGGATTCACCGGAGGACTGATTTATTTCAAAGAAATTATTATAAGAAACTATTCACAACTATCCGTATGATTATTATTTAATGTATTCTTATAACTTCTTGTTAATTATGATAATTATTCATTTATTATTAATTTATTATTCTTTATAATTTTCGAACAACGAGTGCGTCTGACTTGACGTCATGCAGCAGGCTGCCACTTGTGACGACGACGTCATCAATCATTGTGTAGAAGGAGTTGTTGGAATGGATCACTGTGAGATGGTGAGTGAGATGGTGAGAGAATGAATGAGTGAGTGAGTGAGTGAGTGAGTGAGTGAGTGAGTGAGTGAGTGAGTGAGTGAGTGAGTGAGTGAGTGAGTGAGTGAGTGAGTGAGTGAGTGAGTGAGTGAACGAACGAAAAAACGAACGTAACTGAATTGATTTAGAGAAAGCTTCAGGCAGAAAAAACAACAAAAACGTATTAAATAAATAAAACAAACCTACAAATAATTATCACAAAATAAATAATCTATTCAATCATTTATTCATTCATAATATGCCCAAATATTTAATGGATACCTAATGTGTAAAGATGCGTCAGTTTATCTCTATATGCTTCATACAAACTTACTGCTGGCGCTTTTGGGCCATGCTTCTCCTTGCAAGATGTTTAAAATACTTTATTGTTACTAATGCAATCATTAATGACATTAACAAACAAAACAAACTACAATACAAGCATTAATAACCACATCAACTAAATAAATATAGACATATAGGCAAACAATATCAATAACAAAACAATGTCAATATCGGTAACAACAATAAAAATGACCTCAACATAAAATGAAACATTGACAAATAAAATAAGTAGCAGCAAAGCAACAGCAAAAATAACAACTGACAACAACAACAACGACAAACCTCATACTTTCCAGTCAGTGGATTTTTATGTCTGAAGATGAAATGCAGCTGTTTGTAGAAATGATTATGTGAATGATTAAATATACATACACTGAAATAAATAGCATATCCTTTTTCATAGGTCTCGCCGTTATTATCGTCATCTTCGTCTTCATCATCATCTTCATCACAAAATCGCCCCCATCTTCAACACCGACACCACCACCACAAAGAAATACACACAAACACAGCACCTTCACATCATTGCCACACTTATCAGGTCCAAACATGATAACGTAAGGAGTTCTGTCTGTGAAATCTTCCTGAAGTTTCACAAAACAATTTTTTTAGGTTAATTTTAAATCTACATCATAATTGCCTAATTCATGAATGTGATTTTATTAATTTATCAACAATGTGAAGTTTGCCAAAGTTGTAAATAGGAAAAGATAACAAGCAGACAGACGTAGAAAACAAATACTCAAAACACCACCAAAGTTTTAAATAAGTCAACACAAAATATGGACAAACCAGGTTGAGATCATCTGAATGATTAAGTAATTTTATGTAGGCGCCTCCACAATCAAGTCCTCTTTGAAATTTGGCCTCAAATCTTTTTAAAAAAATTAATAAAACCATAGTTAATAATAATAAAATCCACATCCAAATAAAATTCCACATAATGAACATTATTTAACTAAACCAATCAAACGCATCACTATTTAGCGTAGTCACTTTAACTTCAGCAAAAAAAAATAGAAAAGTACCAACTGCACCACAAAGGTCTGACCATCAAAGATGAATGGCTGTCGGAGTTTGGATGAAATGGCATGGTGCTTAGCTTTAGACTGTTGGTAGGTGTCAATTGTGTGGTTAAATTTTAGTGGATATAAGTAATGCTTACAAAAATGTTGTGTCAAATTGTGTAAGTTTAACCCATTTATGCTGGATGGGTTAAAATTTTATAATGACCTTCAGAACAAGTCCAACATCTTTTTTGATAACTGCATCCACTGGCTCTTCCAACTTCCACTCTCCTTAACAAAAAAAATCAATCAGAAAAAAAATTATATAATGAAAAAATTATTTCTGAATAAACTTAAAACTCCAAAAAAATTAAATAACACCATACAAGTTATATTTATAAAAAAACTATTAATGTACTATTATACTATAATATTAATAATATAGCATAATCTTCCTCCTAACCATCATACAATGAAATCTCATCATCTGTGTGCTCCTTCTTTGCACTTGATTTTATCCAACTGAAATTTTAGAAAAAATTATATAATGAAATTTTAAATGAAAATAATAACAGTTAAAAGCTAAGATATTTTAGAGGAAAAATGCCTTATTGTATTTTTCTTATCAAACTTCTTATTATTTATAAGTCCGACCCATAACGAATGGAGACTATAGGATTGATTGAAACTTTTTATCAAAAAGCAAGTGGCCATATACATTCGTTATATAATATTTTTCACAGAAAACTTTTCATTGAGTAAGCAGGTAAATATTAATTCTAGATGATTGTAAATGGATGGAAATCTTGTTCTGTAAGACCTAGGTTTTTAACAGTTTTAATGCAAACCCTTCCTACTCTAGGTAAAGATCAATTTTGTATGTACCAGAGTTTAATTCTTATACAAAAATGTCGTGGCAAAAACATAGTTGGGAATCATATGTAAAAACATAACTGTCGACAAACTTTTTATTGAATTCCTCTTCAGACTGGAATGTTTCAACAAAGTAGGAATTAGGAGGTGGAATGGGAGGAGTGTAGGGGGGCTGTTTATTTGGTTTGGTTTTACATGATAATATAATTTGTTTTATAATTATAAACATTTGCATTTGTTTGTTAATGTTAATGTTTTAATTTAATAAATTATTAATTAATAATTAATTTTTTATCTTTATTAAATAACTAAATGAATATTCATTTACAAGTTTTATCAATAATAACAGAATCAAAATAATTATATTGTTAATAACCAAATAATAACGATTATTTTTAATTTTATGTACTTATAATGTTCATGTATTAATTATACTTATAATTTATAAATAACAAAATTAATTTCAAAAATAAAAAAAGGACCAACAAATGATAATTCATGAATAAATTAATTAACAAAATATATATTAATTATATTTATAATCACTAACCACGTAGACCTCCCCTCCAAAGTCATCATCGTGCGACGACACTAACGAGAAAAAAGTTTGTAACTTCAAAATTAGCAAAAAATTATTGCAAAATTTCATTTCTAATTTTTAACTCAATTCGATTTCACTTTTCATTCCCATGCTGTCCTTAGCAGAGGTTCGTGTTGAATAAGTCTCCTAATAAAGGTCTCGAAAGTTACCAATTATAGAAAATGTTATTTCTTTGAAGAGTGATGCATATAAATGAATGTTGAAATTTTTTTAAAAATTAAAAAAACGTGATATTTTTTTCATATTTTTAAAAATTTGAAAATAACTTAATTTCTCAAGTGAGTTGTGTGTGTATACGTGTGTGCCGGTGCTTGTGCGTGCTTCTCAATAATGAAATTAAATTATAACATCTATGTTGATCTGGGTAATATTCCTGAATTAACGCTCAAATTTTATAAATTTCCAGAGCAGTCTCTAAAATGGTAAAGTTTTGTTCTAGTTTAAAATGAATTTACGTTCATTAATTTTATTAAAAATTAAAATAACTTGCAAATTAAATTCATTCTTTAATTATGAGTCTTTTTTAAATGAGTCTTTTTTTTGTCTTCTCAGCTCTCAATTTTATTTTTAATTTTTTATAATAATCATTTAAATTTTTAAATGCGCATTCATTCAATTAATAAAAATATTTAAATTAAAATAAACTATAAAACAAAAGAAATTTGGAATTTTTTATATGTTTTATTGCAACGTTTCTAATTTAATTTCAATAAATATTTAATATTGTTATTGTCCATTTAAAACAATTTTTATGAAGAAAAAATAATTGGAATAATTTTTTAATTGTTTTTTACTTTTATTAATAAATGAATTGAATTGGTTCAGCACAAGTTGAAGTCAGTACAGAAGGAGAAGGTAAGACAGTTCATGTCATTTACTCAGACCAATGAGAGGACTGCCCTTGCCTGTCTTCTGGCTCATGACATGAAAATAGAGGTTGCCATCGATAATTTCTTTCAATTCCCAGATCGATATGCCATCAGAGAAGCAAGACAACCAACAATAGATAGAAAAAGAATTGAGCAACTATTCAACAGATATAAAGGTTTAATCTTGTTTTATTTTTATTTTGGAAAATAAAAGTAGCACTCAAATTACTGAGTTAGTAAACTTATATTTTGTTTTAATAAAAATTTTAAAAGATTCCTTTGAAGATGAAAAAATCACAGCAGATGGAATGATGAGATTTTTAGATGATTTGGGGTTGAATCCTGAGAGTCGAACTGTTCTCATTCTTGCTTGGAAGTTCAATGCTGCTACTCAGTGTGTTTTCACAAGAGAAGAATTTATTAATGGATTCATTGAATTGGGGTGAATTTTAAATTTTACTTTTTTAAATTTTACAATTCAGTAAAAGTTAGTTGGATAATTTACTGTTATTTTAAAGAAATATTTTTCATTTACTGAGATATATTTTATTCTGCAAATATTGACTTTTACAGAGTTGATGCAATAGATAAATTAAAAATGAGATGTGCCACGTTGGAACAAGAAATTATTGACCCTGTTCGCTTAAAAGAATTTTATCAATTTGCATTTAATTATGCCAAAAATCCCGGTCAAAAATGCCTAGGTGAGTTTAAAAAATCTGTTGTGCTTCTAAATAATTTAAAATCATAGTATGAAAGATGAATGGCCATAGATAATGTTTCAACATTTTCAATTTCTTCTACAAACAGATCTTGACATGGCTATTGCATACTGGCACATTGTTCTAAAAGATAAATTCAAATTTTTAGATCTTTGGATTCGATATTTAAATGTAAGTTTCATTATTTTATTTGTTCTTCTACATGTAATTGTATATGAGTATGTTTTTTATGATTAATGCGTAAATTAAAAGTTTAAACACCAAGGAAAAAGTTTCTTCAATTATGTTAATTAATTAATTTAACAATTTTAATGGTTTATTATATGTAATTAAAAAAGTTGGTTTGTTTTATTAAGTTATGTTTAAAAATGTTTAACAGGAAAATTACAAAAGATCAATATCAAAGGATACCTGGAACCTGCTTCTAGATTTTTCACAAATCATCAATGATGACATGAGCAACTATGATGAAGAAGGTTCAATTTCGTTTTTGTGCTATTTTCCATCATTTTATTTCTTTATTAATAATAATTTATCGAAGGTGTCATCATTGTAACTTTTGTTGTTTTTGCTGCTTCTGCTGTTGTTTGTATTTTTTTTTTGTCTCTTTACAATTGTTACGACTTTCAATTTTTGAGAATGGCATTTTAATGATAGATTGACTGCATGTATTCAAATGCATTTGAAGAAAATATCTATATGTTTATGGAAAGCATAAATGCATTTGAAGAAAATATCTGTGTGTTTATGGAATGCATAAGAAAGGGTTAAAAGTTAATATTGGTAAGACGAAGGTATTGGTGAGTGGGGAAGGTGGGGAGCGAGTGATAAGTAAAATAGACCCCTGTAGGGTATGTGACAGGAGAGTGAAGGCTAACTCGATATTGTGTATAGGATGTCAATAATGGGTGCATAAGAGATGTAGTGGTGTGAGGGGGGCACTGAAAAAGGTGGAAGGCACGTTCAAATGTAAGAAATGTGTTCATGGTGTGATTAATAGGACTGATGCAAGGATGGGGTTGAGTGGTGGTATTGAAAGAGTGGAAAGCTTTGTTTATTTAGGGGTTAAACTGAACGCAGATGGAGGATGTTTGAGCGCTGTTACGGCTAGAGTTCGTGTGGGATGGATGAAATTTAGGGAACTGGGTGGGGTATTGTGTGGAAAGAAATGGTCAGTGAAGATGAAAGGAAGGGTATATAAAGCATGTGTGAGAGCAGCGATAGTATATGGTGGTGAAACTTGCGTGTTGAGGAGAGAGGAGAAAAGTGTACTGCAGAGGGCTGAAAGAGCTATGGTGAGGATGATGTGGGGGGTTAAAGTGAAGGATAGGAGTAGTACAGAGCTAATGTCGATGATGGGACTGAATGAGGACATTGTGACATTGATAAGGAGATCGAGATTGCGGTGGTATGGACATGTGTTGAGAAGGGATGAAAAGGTCGGGATTAGGCGAGCGTTGGAGTTCGAGGATGAAAGTGTGATAGGAAGGGGTCGTCCGCGATTGGAATGGAGAGAGCAGGTGGAGAAAGACAAAGTGCAAGCGGAGTTGCGTGATACTAAGTCGAGTGACAGATATGAATGGCGTCGAGGGGTATTTCGGTTTCATCATAGGTTGCCAAACGGCAGCCCCTGATGTCGTCTAAAAGTGTGTCGTTTGTTGTTGTTTTTGGAATGCATGAATACTAAAGTCCACGTCACTAAATCTTGACTAGAGTTTTGGATGAAACATGGGAATGCTTGAATAAAAAAATTAGTTGACGAACAACTAATTGATTATGCTGATTAATCATCTTAATGTTTATCATTTATATTTACATTAACAAGCTATGTAATAACCTGGTTGTAAATTTGAAGTGTTTTCACTGAATTCAAAATATTACTTAATTTTGTTAACCTATTTTGATCGTCAAACATGACGAAAGTATTTCGGCAATGTGTTCATGTATTAAATATCAGATATCAATCAATCAATCTTCGTTTTGCGTCCAGAGACCCGGTTCCCCGAGGTAGGACGTTGTAACCTCCTATTGTTTATATACATATATATATACATTATATATATATATATCCAAGATTAGACATATATTATCAGATATAAGATGTATATCTTTTTTATATTATCTCAACTGTTACAGGAGCCTGGCCAGTACTCATTGATGAATTCGTTGATTATGCAAAACCAATTTTAGACAAACGGAATACAGAAACAGAAACAACATTATGAATTTTTTGTAATTTATTTGACAACAATTTTTCATTAGTTCAATTAAACCTTTTCGTGATATGATACATTTATTACCATCGTAATTATTATTAATTGTGGAGGATCAGTATAGACCTCCCTACATTGTGTTAAGCTAAGCTAGCTCGCGCGTGTTTTTTTACTGTTGAATTTGAATGAAAGCGTTTTTTTTCCTGAACACTAATTAATTTCGTTTTGGTTGGTCAGTTTAGTTAACGGAAGTTTGAATTGTTTGGCAAATTGCTGTCTGATATTGATTTTAAAATAGATGATTGATTAAATATTGTTTGGTTCTTACGAAAAAGTAATCTTTTAACATCGTGTATCCTATTTGTTCTCAATGGAATGATTGTGCACATGTGCATCTGGGCCTTGTGCATTAAATATTAAATAAGTAGAGCAGCAGTTGGCGCTCTATATATGAGTAGTAGCCCGAAGAAGAAAAATATTTATTTTACAAAAAGCAGGGAGACTGTACATGATGTAATGGTTGAAGACGCCTGACCCTGCTTTGCAGTGACTAGCTTCGATTGCACAGAGATTCCTGTCGATATCACGCAGCTATCAAGTACGCTCTGTGAGATACACCGTTGATACCTCTGAAGCGAATACAGTAAAAAAAGAACGATCTTTAATCTTTTCAACGAATTCTTTTGTAAGTGTCGAGGCGAAAAAAAATGAAACGATTTCAGAGGTTAGTGAAACCGAACTTTTAAAGGAATGTGTGATAAAGTTCATGTGTAATGAACAGCCGAATTAAATTGAACTGAAATGCTAAAATCGAATTTAGCTTCCAATTACTTGTTGTTTCTTATATCGAAAGAAACTCAACACGTACATGCTTCGTACTAGAATTATATATGTGAATGTTTTTTTCCTTCTTCTTCTAATAAGTCTTTGTGTTAATTTCATTTGTGATTTACAACGTTTTAAAAATGAAACAGCACTACAAATGGTATGTAAGTTTTTTTAATGAGTTTTTGAAAAAAACATATTCAGTTTAAAAAATAGAATGTCATGGCGATATTTGACAATGTCAAAACAAGAGGTATATATACATATATATGTATGTATATATATATATATATATATATATATATACAATATATTAACATAAACAAAAATATATGCTATATATAAAAAGAATAAATTAATAGAAATACATCATATATAATAAATAAATAAAACATGCAAAATATTAATATGCTCTGAAATATGAAAAAGTAAAAAACAAAACAGCAAAAGGTTGCAGTAAAAATTAAAGACACATTGATATCTTGTAAAAACAGCGTACTAACAAAAGTTAGCCTACTCATAAACAATAATTTTGAGATAAAATTGCTTCGATCGTTAATAAAAACAATTACTCAAAAATAAATTCAAAGAGTTGCATAAAACAAAATGCTTAACAATAATGTCAAAAATGATGATTCTATCAAATAAACCATATTATGATTCTTCGTTTAATCTCGTTTCGCTTCTACGGAGCTTTTCTGTGAATCACCTACTTTTTCTCTGAACATCCGACTGGAATTAGTTCCAACACCCACGACCACTTTCCATTCAGCAATCTAATAACTGGAATCTCGAAATAATTATTTTCACATTTGTTGGAATCAGTGGCCTCAGTCGAACACCTAGTTTGAATAATATCCTTTGGTATCCTGTTAACATCTTCATTCAAAAGTGTTTTGTTACTGCAGATGATGTCTTTAAAAACGCTAATGTTCCCCATTCTGTTTGCGATTGTTTTGTAGTAGCCACAATCATCAACTTCTATAGATGGTGCGTCGTCGCCACTTTTTATTGATATTACGGCACATTTGCAGAATACTCCAGTCAGGAAATTCACCAAAACTACGGCTTTCAAAATGTTCAATGTGTTAAAGTAAATCATTATAGCTGTTAACGATATTATGTTATCTAAATATTACTCAAACAAATTTAATCAACTGCTGTTGTTAATTACAAGTTTTATCGAAATTGAATTAAGATTGAAGATGCCTTTTCTTCGGACCATCTTCGCTTTTATATACATTCTCAAAAGATATTGACGTAAAATGAAATGAAATTGACCGGAGTCGGGCATTTTTTCATCACGTTAAAACAATCAGATCAGGAAATTAGTAACAGTGCAAGATGATTGAGTAATTTTCAGAAAAATTCCCGAATAATTACACACACACAGAGAAACAGGCTGAACTAGCCGAGCTCTCTCGCTCAAGCCTAATAGACATCACACAGCGAACGTTAAAATTAGAAAAGTAAGAGGTGCTGTTTTCATGTGAATGTCGCGCTGAATTATTTCATCATACACGCCGACGTAATTAACGTACTTCTGGTTAGAAGTTTTTTTTTATTAAACTTTTTTTATTTTTACTAAACGGAGATTTTGAAGTTCACTAATCATTTCAGCTAATAAAATGATCTCTAAACTTATTAATAAACATAAAATACCACTACTACCAATGGCATCACCAATAATGATAGTTGCAGGTTACACCAACATTATTAATAATACTACTGTTAATTATTGAGCCTGGATTTAATATTTATTAAAACTCCCTTTTGGGTCTTCGTTATAAACATAACAAAGTTTTTCATATTAAAAGTTGCATCAAGAATTTTTTTAATAATGTAAAAAACGTTAAAGTTGAATACGGTCGGTGAAATCACAACTTTCCGATGCGTTGGTAGGAGATTATTTCGAGACGTTATGGTGATAATGAGATAGAATGGTCAATCTTAATTCTCTACAAGATACGCGGGCTTGCACGATGATAAAACTAATGGCACACAAAGTTATTATCATTGTTACTACTGCTTCTATACTACCATTCATTGTTTGTTACAAATAAAACTTCAACTATTGCTCATTTTATTTTACTACCAAAATCTAATCTACATTTTTCTGTTACTAAAACAAAATACTTACACGACCTGGTAATACGGTAACATCTTATAATAATTCTGTTATCATTTGTTGGAACTTGATTCGTGTGGAGGTTGTGTTGGTTAGAGATTCATAGATATCAATCATAGATGTCATTGAGTCACCAATAACATGCCTATCAAACAAATAATACACTTTTGGTACTAATGATAATTCTTCGTAACTTCGTAACTCAATTAACCACCATCACAACATCAAAACTTCTCATTGTAAATTACGACATCAGTTAATGGCAATTATTATTACTACTTTTTACCTGTAATCAATCCCCCATTGTAATAATGCCTAATCAATTCACCATTTTACATAATCTCAGAGCGATGATGTTAATTTTAAAAAAAACGTATCTCCGTGTGGTTGTGCTCATGTGCTCAGGTACGAGCTTTCTGAGGAATAATCATTTTCGCTGATAACCCACTACATTTTTAAGAGCTATTAATTCATATATGTTTAAGTGTATACACGCACGCACGCACACATTCACACGCACACTTCACTTTTTTCTTTAACTAATGAAATCGTTAGCGAAACAAAGCAAGCGCCTTTATTTTTTTTAGTGCAGGCAGATTTTATAATAATATTTGTCTGTTGTGAAACAATCGACAATTCTTATTTTTAAGACATGATAAGGATGAAAAATGGTTATAATTAATTAAAAATTAAGAGTTCAAGAACATGAGAGATGTATTTTATGTAAGTATGACACGTTAGTCAATATTTTTTAAACATAGTATCGTACGTATCGTATTGTATATATGTCATTTAATCACAGATGTTCACCTAGTCCCCAACACCATAATATAAATGATGGAATCAAAGTTTTTGCAATTTCATTGCAGCAGATAATCCACACCACATTAGCGGTTCATTTCATGTCAGCGGCTAGCAGCAGCAGTAGCAAGAGTGACGTCACAGTGATCAACAGGAACGAGAGAGAAGTGCGGTTGGAGTCGTTACAAAGATAGCTGTCGCAGAAGCAATTGGTTATACCGACTATTGCGACATCACCACTCCAACAAGTCTTGCTGTGGATGGCGCTGTTCGAGCAACCCCTACTGACTTTCATAACTGCTCCAACTATTTGAAATATGCTATTGACTAGTAGTTAGTTAAGTTATGACTTTTTATTGAATAATAAACAGACTCTTTGCCATTGAAAATATTTAACAACATAATTTAATTAAATATTAAACATATTAAAATTAAAGGAGTCTTCAATTAATAACAATTTATTTACAGTTTTTGAATTATAAATTATGCAAATAAAGCGATCTGAAAAAAAAACCTCACAAAAAGCATGGCCAAAGGTTTTGAAGCAGTAACGGCCTTCGCACGTTTGGGACGCAGGGCATACTGCTTCTCCGGTGCACGAGTAACATCTAACTGACCGAGCCACGCCTACCACTAATGACGTCACAGCGAGGAGAGTAACTACTGGTGAGATTGCCATTTTTCACTGATGTTTGCGGACAGTTTCTGTTGTTAGCTGGTTGGTGATTGTTTGGTATCAAGTTTTTCCCAGCTTTCAGCGGTCTGAGGTTATAAAACCCATTGATTAAATTTTTTTAAATGAAAATATTATAAAATATAGCACAAATATCACAAGTTTAAAAACTCACGTCTGAAAAACTACCTCACTGCATTAAAAAGTTATCGTTACCAGTGGTTTTCATCCTAAATATATTCTGTGGATTCATTTTTTATTAGTTAATTAATGATTTATGATAACTTAATTGCAGATAAGCACGGCGGCGCTTGCATTCACACACATCCACACACATCCACACACACAATCAAACACACACACAATATTTCAGCACACAATCACACGCATATTAGATAAGGAGGTAGATGATGATGATATGATGTGATGATATTGTTGTTGTTGATGATGTTGTGATGTTGCTGTTGATGGGATGTTGTTGATGATGTGATGTTGTTGTTGTTGATGGATTGTTGTTGATAATGTTGATGATGTTGTTGTTGTTGATAGATTGTTGTTGATAATGTTGATGATGTTGTTGTTGTTGATGTATGTTGATGATGTGTTGATGTGATGATGATGATGACGACGACGACGATGATGATGATAATTGGAATGAGGAAGATACTAATTATAATGATAGTGATGTGATAATGACAATGTACCGGATGTGTTCTTCATGCGATTTATAGCTATTGTATTTTTAAATGAATTCATTTGTTTATTTATTTATATTTTAAACTAATTCGTTCATTTTTTTTACAGATTACGAGGATAAAAATTGTTTTATTTGTTAACATTTATCTTTGGTTTTGATTCAACTATTAAAACATTCATTTTATTGGGAGTTAGAAAGATAGCAATAAAATATATTCCTAATTTTAATAGCTCTTTTAAAACTACCGGTATTAAAATTACTTACTCGCGTTGAATCGAGTAGTAATTTTGGCATTAGTATTATCAATAACAATACTGAAACCTAACAATGAAACACAATTTTGTTTTAAGAAGTGAACTATAGCACCGGAATTTAACGTTGACCTGGAATCATTTCAACATTCATCATACTCTTATATAAGACATTTTATGTCACATGATTTCTTTCAGAGAATATAGTGAATCCTATAAAAAAAAGAATAATGGTAGTTCAATGTCAGTTCATCAATAGTTTACATTTTACAACACAATGTATAATGAAGCAGATTAAACTCTGACTGAATGCATTTTTCGCTGATCACAAAATTTAACTTTTTCAAATTCAACGGCGAATATTCTCTTAGAGATGTTTTTCAACTTCAAATAAACTTCAGCCTATTATCGCGGAATGGTTCTCAAATCCGTAAGTAAGTTATGTTCCTCGTCAAAAACCTTTCATTCCGCAAATTGTTTTCATTTATCACCTTCGTCATGGAAATTATAAATTTTTTTTATTTAAATTTGTATAAATTTAATGAATTTAAAGCCATTGTTTGATGTTTAATTAACTTCTATTTATCTATGACGTATAAGTTTTTAAAAGCAAGCTAATGTTAATCAAAATTTAATGGGAGTTTGTCCAGTTAGTGCTAATTTATTTAACATTCATTCTAATTATTTTAGCACAATTCAAATCAACTTCGCCATCTTCATCATTGCGCCATTACACAAATCACGTGATAACTACAGCACCATGTTGATGACCAGGGCCAAGATGAGCACTAGAACTGCCAGCATGGCGGAGACAGACGAGCGCTTGGAGTCGTTGCACAAAAATGAGTTGCAATTGCAAATGTAGCCACCGAACCCTAGTATCTGGCTACCAACACAGCCCATGGAGTCGGACCCACTACCGCAATACTTCGACACGACTGATTTTCCTGTTCAAATGAGATGTTTAATATGTATTTTAAAATATGATTATAAGTTTGTTTGATTTTAATACAAACAATATATTGATTATTTCTAGAAAAAACAAATTATAGATTCATGAAAGACGCTGAAATAAATAACAACAAACTGTTTTAATATTATACAACCTGTAATTAACTTTAATAAGATATATATAAGTTAAATAATCAATTTAGTTGAACAAGGTTTGGGCATTTGAAGCATTGGAAGATGAAATAAACAAATCGTCACAAAACAACGAACATCCGACAAACGAACCAGCTTCCATGTACTGAGTCTTTACACAGTAGTCGCCAGTGCAGAAGTTGAAGCACACAGATGAGTCGGTGTCGCACTTGTAGCAGTTCACCGATTGAACCATATCTACGAAGAAGGATGTCACAAGCAGGAAAACCACAGCTGCCGACATGCAAGAAAATTTCAATGAGGATGCCATCTTTCTTTCACAGTGGAGAGCTTTTCGTTAGTTTTCAACGATTCTTTGGATTCTGAATAACAACCAGAAAGATCAATGTGGTCAATTTTAATGTCATAAAATTAGTAAAAAATAATCATGATTTGTAAACCAAAATAAATAAAAAACTATCACATACAACCAAATTTTAAGCTTGAAAATTAAAACTGGGCAGCATAAACAACATTTCCGTGCGAAACCGAAATGAACAGTTGGCATATAAATGACAAAACTACAGCCACTATCAGCTAGCTATCAAACAATTGCTTAAACTTAGCTAGCCGTGTTCTAATTAAAGCGTACGTAAAAATACATACAAAACATACATACACACGAAAAGACGCATACATACACACACACACACACACACACATATATATATATATATATATATATATATATATATATTATAGTAAAATTATTATCAATAATAACATTACCATAGTCGTAATTAAGTAAAATCTTTTAAGTAAATCATTTTAAAATTATTAAAAGTTACACATTCAACAAAAATAAATAAATATTATTTCTATCAAAAATTTGTATTAAATCACAACTATAATAATTGATAATAATGTTACTGAGTGAATTGATATTGCTACTGCTGTTATTATTGCTAATACCATTCATATATATATATATATACATACAAATATACAAACATACATACATATTGGCTGTAGAATTTTAAGAATAATAAATTCACTATTAATTACTCAATTATAATTTTAAATCGATAGTTATGCTATACATTGTGTCGTTCAATTGAGTGCGTTACATTTTATATAGCGCTGTGTTTTATGATGTTAAGTGGTGTTGCATTAGGTTATGTCAAAGTCGAAATTATCATGCTAATTTATTTCTTAATTGAAATCATTTTTAAGTGAATCATTTGAAATCGTTGAGCGTTGACAACTCGTTAAATTTAGTCTTTCAGAGAAACGATTCATATGTCAGCATTATAAAAGATTTTTTTTTCAACAGTTGCTACTATGAAAATATAACAAGTTATAAATTATTGATTATTTTTACCTCAAGGTATAAACATACAAACATTTTTTTTAAAACAAACTCATTTGTCAACTCCAGCCAAGCGTGCAATGCGCAGCAGTTAGCCAGTTACCACTTGTTAGGTAAGAAAGAGCAAATGAAGTAGGTGAGTAGGTTTAGAGAGAGAGAGAGAGAGAGAGAGAGAGAGAGAGAGAGAGAGAGAGAGAGAGAGAGAGAGAGAGAGAGAGAGAGAGAGAGAGAGAGAGAGAGAGAGAGAGAGAGAGAGAGAGAGAGAGAGAGAGAGAGAGAGAGAGATTTATGCTATATGCAATATTTACATAATTGCATAATTGTTATTTTAATTAATTTATTTATTTTTTATTAATTTACTCAACATCGAATATGAAAAAATGAAATTTAAACAAATTGAAAATTTGAAAACTTCAAAATTTCTCTACTTATATAAATAAATGTTAACTTCAAAATGGACAGAATAATTTGAAAATATGGCGGCAGAAGATTTAAGAAAGATAAATTTACCAACGAAAGTTTGTAAACACGTACGCGAATTACGCTCACGCAATATCTTATATCTATAAATATTTTTTTCTATAATAATCTTAATAAACTTAATTTTTTAAAATTTAGTGAAAAATATCAATCAATAAAGACAAACTAAATTAATTACATATTTTAAAAATGTTTAAATGAAACACTCACATATTCACACAAGCTTTCAAATAATGAACGGACTCGTCGTAATTGCTTCAATCTACATACATATGTCCCAGACTGGATAAATTATTATTGTTCGCTTGTTGTCATTTAAACAGTGCATTCAAAGAGACGATTATAGTTATGTACTCACTCCTGCAATACGAAAATGTGCACACAATTAAATACAATTGCTAAGGATTTATCCTAAGTGGTGAGAGATATTTATATTTGTCATTTGTTAAGCTGCTGATAAAATGTATAAATTAGGAGCTTTACATTTTAAAAAATGTAGATTTGTAATTTAAATATTTATGCAAATTACGCTGTGTATGAATGTGTTTATTTTATTTATCAATTCTTTATTCGCAAGAACTTTTCTTGCCCAAAAATCACAAGGTGGATAGTCAAACCAGTTAAACCCCTGAACAAACAGACAGGCCACAAAAATTGACGTAAAACGGCAAAACACAGACAAACTGCTGGACACCAAAAAGTAGGCAGGCAGATTACTAAAGAGATAGACTACAAAAAAATCGGACATGCAAAAAACCGCATAACACAAAAATATAGGCAGTAAACAGAGAAACCACTGAACAGCCTAGTGGGCGATCAGACTGGCCACAAAACAGACAGACCACTGAACAGAACTGAATTTCACGGAATTTTAATAAATAATGCTCACAACCTCCCGCCTCGGCCCTCTTAGATCTCCACTGCATGAATCTAATAAAAAACTACCAGCCTAATTTACAATATCAACGTTACATTCAAAAAATATCAAGCTACAAAGTGTGTTCGGTCGATTCCAAATACTATTTATCGAAAACGTCAGGATTTCCATTACCAAATTATACATTTTCATGCTCAACAAATTGAGTACTATATGAATCTAATGAAAATCTACCACCTTAATTCACTATATCAGCACCGCATTATAAAAAATTAAATTCAGTTAATATACGGAAGGATAACTATTCGGGATTTCCATTACCATATTATACATTTTCAAGCTCAGGAGTGATAGAGTACTACATAAATCTAGTTAAAAACTGCCAGTTAATTCACTATATCATCGCCACATTTTCAAAAATAATCAAAATATAGTACGTAGTTCTTAATGATAATTATTCGTATTTAAAAATTAGAAGAGATAAATTCCTTTCTAAAAATTGATATTTGTTGACTTTTATTAACAACATTGTTCTTAGCGGGGAGGAATGGCTACTCCGATTTCCCTCCTAGATCCGTCACTGAAATAGACAAACCACAAAAATTATTTTATGAAAATAGACCAAAAACTTCATGATAACATAGGGTCATTAAAAATTTCATACCTTTGACGCATTAGTAAAAAATTTGAATTAGAACTGAAAAGCCAGTTAGTTATACTTTAAAAGAACGGAAAATAGAAAAGAGATGAAGTCAGTTTTAGTCTGTTTTTTTAAATTGCAATATGTATTATCAGTTTAACTACAAATCTTAATTAAAAACAAAGTTCAGTCGTAAATAAGTTTTGTTAAGGAGTTTTATCATGGAAATTGAACTATGTAGTTGAACTTAGCGCTGACCTCGAAACATATTTACGTCGTTATATTTTACACCAGTAAAATATTCATTTACCATCATTATCAAAAATATTGATTAAACTGTCACCTCTTAGTGACCTGGTTCGTCAAATTGGATGTGTGGCGTCTACTCCATTCGTGAAACATAATGAATGTATAACGTCAATGCTCCTCTTGTTTTAATGTTAAAATGCTTATAATGAGAAGAATATGATAAGGCAATCCCATTCCGTATAACATTCTACATTACACTAACTTGTAGATTATTAGTGCTATTTTTAAAATATATAAACTACTTTTAAAAATAAACAATGCTCGATTTGTGGCCATCCCTTACCTAGACTTCCTTTTCCTTTTTGCTGCCATTATTACCACGTTAACTTGTTGATCAGGCTTCTTGTCCATTTTTAGAAGCCAAAATGGTTGGGTTTTTTCATTTTTTGCTTCCAAAATGCAAATGTCATTATTTAAAAATTAAAACGGTTTTTAAATATGATGAACTACGATTTACTTTGTTTTGATCGGGCGGCCACGGTCACCACAAGGTGCATCACGCTAGAATAATAAATAAAATTGAAAAGTATTTTTATCAAAACTTCTTATTAGGCCTACAGACCGTTTATATCAGTTTATGATGAGAAGGGCGTTGCAACAGGAACGGCTTTGCCCATGCCTGCCGTTTTCAGAGCTCCGATCAGGACAGACATTGTTAGCACTGTTCACATGGATATGCTTAAGAATGGAAGACAGCCATACGCCGTGTCCACAAAAGCTGGTTGGTTCACTTTGACTACTTTGCCTTTAAATCTAAAGTAAAGTTTTAAATCTTTTTTAGTATATTTGTCAATAAGTGTAATAATTGTAATCATTTAAAGGATTTTGTAAACTATTTTTTTTAGAAAGATAGGTGAGTCAAAAACTAAGATTGACTTATGGCTTATGTGTTCCACATGAAACCAAATATAATTGATTAATAATATAGTGTACATGATATCAATGTCATAAAATAAAATAAATTTTTTTCTGTATTACTAGTCTTTGATTTTGAAATGTAATAACAAAATATGAAAATGCTTGTCCTATTTTTATGAATTTTGTCAGACCTTAATCATGTAAATAAAATATTTATGCACTTTTTATGCATTTTTATCTAATGTTTTTAAATTCATCACTTAGATATAGCATTCTAAATGTGCATGCTAATGTTGATTATTAAAATAAATGTTCAAGATAACATTTTTAAAATGTATCAAATTTAAAATTTTCATAGGTCATCAGACCTCAGCTGAATCCTGGGGTACTGGTCGTGCTGTAGCTCGTATTCCACGTGTCAGTGGCGGAGGAACGAACAGATCTGGCCAGGGTGCTTTTGGCAACATGTGTAGAGGGGGAAGAATGTTTGCTCCCACCAAGACATGGAGAAGATGGCACAGACACATCAATGTCAATCAGAGGCGCTATGCTATCTGCTCTGCAATTGCTGCGACTGGCATTCCAGCAATTGTCCAATCAAAAGGTAAATTTTGTGTAATCAAATTGTTGACTATTTTATTTATTATTTATTGTAATTCTTAGGTCATCTGATTGACAGTGTTCCTGAAATTCCTCTCGTTCTTAGCGATAAAGTTCAAGAAATTAAAAAGACAAAAGAAGCTGTTGGTGTATTAAGAAAACTTAAAGCCTGGCCTGATATTGAAAAAGTTAAAATTATTTCAAACTCTTCATTTTTTTAAATCTTGTGGAGGCAAATGATTAGGACTTTGGTCCGTGTTTCTGATCATGTGTGACAGATGACCTAAACCACATATGATGCTTCATTTTAGCAATAATTTAATAACTTACCTATTATAGTTTAGTTAAAAAACATATTTTTACATCAAAGTTAAATGTAAATATCATTAAAGATATTTAATAAAATAGGAACATATTACACCGACAAAATATTTGACTATTCTCGTAAACGTGAAATTGATTCTAGATCAACTTTATATCTTTAAAATACTCCAATTTTATGTTCTCGTTTAATAAACGAGTAGTGATGATATCATGGTCCGTGTTTCTGAATTCTATGTCAGACAACCTTAACCAAATCTGAAACACTATTAAATTTTTTGACATTTTCTAACTTAATTAATTGATATTGTTACTACCTCCTCTTGTTGGCATTCGTTAAAGTAATGGGTCAGCTATATTTATATGTAATTCCTGTATCATAACATTTTCTATGCATTTAATAATTGGTAATGATGATATCATTGGTCCGTGTTTCTGAAATGTATGTCAGACAACCTTAACCATATCTGAATCAATTTATTTTTTATGTTTTATATCCTCAATTACATGATTGTTCTTGTTCATGAAAATAGGTAAAAAATTCCAAACGTTTTCGTGCTGGTAAAGGTAAAATGAGAAACAGACGTCGTATTCAAAAGCGTGGTCCAATCATAGTTTACAACCAAGATAATGGCATAACGAGAGCATTCAGAAACATACCAGGTATCACCCTGCTCAGTGTTGACCGGTTGAACCTTTTGAAAATTGCTCCCGGTGGTCACGTTGGTAGGTTTGTCATCTGGACAGAATCAGCTTTCAAACAATTAGATCCCATCTATGGAACATGGAAAAAGGCTTCCGAACACAAAACTGGATACAAGTAAGTTGATTTCATTTTTAAAGTTAAGTTTTAAAATAAATTATAGAATGCAAGTGATGATGCTTTGGTCCGTGTTTCTGATAGCTCATGTCAGAGAACCCTAACCACTTCTGATGTCAATCAAGCTTCAATCGAGGCATATATATACAATTATATATTTTTATATTTAATATGAGTTGTTGAAGTATGTGAAAGCTATAAATTATGTATTTTGCACAAGTAGCTAAAGCCTGTTAATAATAACACAAAGTGAACAAAAGATTTGATCACATTTCGTTTTTATGATCCTTTCTGCAACAGCTTACCAGCTCCAAAAATGACCAACACCGATTTACAACGTATTCTGAAGAGTGATGAAATTCAAAAAGCTCTTCGTCTACCAATGTTAGTACCGTTACAAATTTTTCTTAATTTTAGGTGTAATTTTGGGCATTATCCAATTTTATATTATTTTAAAATTGTTTTTTAAATTTAAACGACTTTAGAAAAAGCAGAACAAAGAAAGTTTTGAAGAGAAATCCATTAAAAAACAAGGAGGTCATGCAGAAGTTAAACCCATTTGCTATTGTTCAGACAAAGGTGGCCAAGGCTGTTGAACAAGCTCAAAAGCTGAAGAAACAAGCTCTTCTTGATGCCAAAAGAGGGGTGAGTTTTTAGTAGTGATAGTGATTGGTAGTTAGTATTTCGTTGTAGTTACCAATCTCATGAAATGCCTCACATGTAACAATTTTGCTGAATTTATTGAATTGTTTTATATGATGGATTGTCCTGTATTTAGTTATGTTTTTAATATTGTAATCACTGGATACATGATACTTAGTGATGTTTAATAATAAGGAGCAGATGAATGCCTTGAATTTATAAATAAACGAATCTTAACTAATTCCTAGCACTTAACTAAAATTTAATTCATCTAATGTGGTGTTATGACTGGCATGCCGTACTTACCTATTTTGAATAGTGTACATATAAATCCATTTTTTAACTGATTGCCTTATTGGAGGTTACTAAAAACAGGAATTTAATTTTTGAAGAATGTTCCATTGTGTTCCATGATAATTCACCGTTTCATTTTTTCTGTTTAATGACAATAATGATTAAAATTAGAAAACTTTGTTTATGGTGATAGCATGTTAGGAATGATTATGTTTCAAAGTAACAAAGGTGTTGTTGCTCTGTGAGATCTCACCGACTTGAAGCTTTTTTATTTTTTTAATTCTATTTTTGTTTATGATTTTGTGCAAATTTTAAACTTGCTCTTTGATGCTGCCTTTATAAGCAACACGTGCTAGTGATGAGTTTTTAATTTTTATTAAAAGTTTTTACAAACGGAATCCAATACATTTTAATCTCAATCACCTGCTCCTCTGTCCCACATAACAAATATTTGTTGAATAAATAATGTTTAATTAGATGGGAATTGTCAGTATGTGTTAACATGTTCACTGCTCAAATGTAAATAAAAGTTTCAAAAATTTATAGTAATTTTAAGAACTATAATTGTGCAATTTTAGATGAAAATGTTTTTATTTACATTTATATGACTAGTGATTTTTTTTCTTTCAAACCTACTACTTAATATTAAACTAAAAGTTGAAGGATCGTTACAATTTTGCAGAGAATCTCAATAGCGATTCCATATCTGTTAAAAAAGCTATTTTGTTTTAATTCTGTTCCCTTTATAATTTCATATATACATTTTTATACATGTGTCATTTGGTGAGTGTTGCTTGTTGATTCAGGGTATGAGCAGAATATGTATTTTGTTGTTGTGTATATCTAAATAAATAAATAGCAAGATATAAACCTAATAATGATTAAATTATAGATAAGTCCTGAAAAGGAGAGCATCATAGAGCGGGTTTGTTTCGTGCCTTGTTCGGGAATGTTTGAGAATTTTTGTTTCAAATAACACAATCAACATATTTGTAGCTATTATTACTGCCGTTCGTTATCAATTTATTTTAACCTAGAATTATTAATTAATTAAATCTCTTGGTCGGCCGTCACAAGAATCTATGGTGTTATTATGTGCAGATGTCTCAGTTATCTAGACTATCTTTTGAGGCATATATTTTTAAAAGCAAATTTATGTGTCGTTTCGGAAAATGGGTCAAAGTCAACGATGAAAAGATGATTGACTTATTTTTTATTAATTGTGTTAGGGTCGTCAGACAATGAATCCTTACATGATATTTTCAAACTGCGTAAATTATTCAAAATAGCGTTCAACTGATATCTCTTGCTGTTATTTTAATTGATTAATTAACATCAAACGACTGAATATTCCAGTTGTCTAGCAAAATGGGCTTCACAGAAAAATACTACAAACTGGTTGATGAAGATGATGAGGTGTTAAAATATAGCAAGGATAGAGCTCGCTATTATGTGTAGCTTTTATTCATCTTTTTGTATTTATTATTCTATAAAACTTAGTGGAAATACGGAATTTTATTAGATTTTCAATATTGTTTTATTGTTGCCCATTGCTAAAGCAAAGTATGTTGATGTGGTGATGTTACTTTAGTTTTTATCTAACTGTTACCCTGTTACGTATAAGGCTGTTTTACTTTTTAACATTAATTGTAAATTTTAACCGTTTGATTTTTAAACCTCTGGCTGAATGAATGGCTTGTGTTGGTAGCTTGTTTTTTCGTTTACTAATCCATTCTAGTTTATTACACAGTTTATGGATGTGATTTTTATTGTGCATGAATTAAACATAACTTGGAATGTCATAAATTTGAGTTTCTTATTAATATAACTTCAAAAGTGGTAATGGTTCTTTATTTTTAACTAATGCACATGCTTTTAGAGTTTTTGGACGTACATAATTTCTGTACATGAATGACATACCTTTTTTTAATAATTATGCTTGAGATTGTTTTTGCTTTGTCATACAAATTATGTTTAATGAGGCTTAACATTTTCATTATTTTATTTTGTCGCAGATTGCCACATTAGATAAAAAAACAATGGGATCCAAGGCCAGACCCCGCAAGCGTATTGCTGCTCTTCCGGAAAAAAGTGCAAAGAAAGAAAAATCTAAGAAATAATTCAGTGGTTTTTCGGCAAAAAGACAATTTGCTGATGTCATGGATTTGAATTGACAATTAATTTTTATTAATATGTTTCAGTTCAAAATCCAGTTACTTGTTAAATGTTATTTGTTCTCATTAATTAATATCGCCAAATTGTATTCGGCTTTTACACGAAAGCACAGCTGCTAAAATAAAAGCGAAGGTAATGAGTAATGTGAAACTCGTTTATTGGAAGCTAAGAGACGTTAACATTGGTCAAATGATTTTTACTAAGTGAATCTAAAGCAAATGGTCGTCAAGCTTGTGAAACTACGTCTCTGGTCAACTAACAAGGTGTATAACGGAACGTTCCCTTATTGACCTTAAAGTGTGACTTTTCTAATGGAGTTTCTACTGAATTGGTTAATAGTATTTTCGCCATTCTAGGCTCTGATGGTTTATGCAAGAATTTCGAATAGTGTATGAATCTGTAAATACTGATAACTGGTGGCCGCGCTGAACATCTGTGACAGTTATTGTAACCGTCGTATATACAGAATAATTAGAATATAGAGGATAACCTGTTACATCTAAAAACATAATCGCCCAAAAGTTTTCCAGTTAAAGTTTATGCGCTAATGCAGACATCATAACTTACACTTAGAATTACTGTTGTCTATATTTAACGTGAACAATTAAGAAAATAAGCGCTTGATACTTAATAATGACAATGCCGACGGCTGCACGCCCCAGATCGCGTACGTACGAATTTATATAAAACATAAGTCGGCAGATCTTAGCTGGTTTGCTTCTGGAAGAGATCTGGTTGTTCGTCCGTTCCTTCGTTAATTTTGTTCATTCGTTCGTTCGTTTGAACATTTATTTGTTCAATTGTTCGTTTGTGAATTCCTACATTCGTTTGTTTGTTCCAGGTCTGCTCACTTCATTTCATTTCACTTTCTTTTGCTTTGTTGCAGGTTAATTAATTTAAATTTTAAATCAATGTCAATTTGATATTTTAAACAATTATTTTTGATAAAAATAAAACAATTATTTTTATTTATTATTTAGTCAACTCAAAAAGCCCATTCAAGCATTGATTATTCTTTTTTTTTATTGTTATTAAATTACTTAATATTTCACTCAAATTTTTGCTTTGATGATTGGTGAGGGATATAAGATGATAATTTAATTTTTTTTTAATTTTATTTATACAATATCATTATACATTAAATTATAAATTGTAATAAATAATCATAATAAATAATGTCTTATAATATATATTTATATTTACATAATTACATAACAACAATAAGAAAATATATATAATATACTACATTATGTATAATATATATACTACATTATGATTTTTTATTATGTATATACTAATATCATGTGTAATGCAACATCTAACATCTCAGTCCTAATAAATAATGATCAAAGATTTTGATATATTTTGTAAACTGGCAATTCCAACCCAAGTAAGGATTAGTAATATGTAGGTTGCTATGTGTATGTAGCTAGTAGTAGTGCAATGAAGGATGAATGAGATCAAGTCATAGATATAAATTTTATATTATGTAAGTAAAGTAAGTAAATGATCCTTAAAAAACTTCATTTAAAAATTAAAAGTTGAATTTAGCAAATAAATGCCTCTTTAAAAGGTATGACAAGTGTGTGTTACTCTTCTTTAGTATGTATGTATATGTATGACTGTAATTGTTAGTATATAACAATAGTAAACAATTTATAAACTCAAAACTGCAAAGCATAGGATAGGCAAAACAAAAATTTTTCATTGATTGATAATAATTCATGTTAATATCTGATCTAAAATTCATATTTTTGATCATGAATTTTTGATCATTAATTTTTCATTCTTCTCATGTTATAGTAAATAAAACAATAAATAACAATTAAATTGATGGTTTCATTAACATGGCTCTGTAATTATGTAGCTATTTTTTTCTTACTTTTTCATCAAATCATATTTGTTCTTTCAGTATGGGTCGTGGAGGGAGATCTGGAGAAGAAATTGACAGACAGATACCTTGGGATGAAATAAAGAAGCACAACACCAGGACGGATAGATGGATTGTTATTGAGGACAAAGTTTATAATGTCTCGGAGTGGGCCAAAAAACATCCAGGTGGTTCTGCCATCATGGGACATTATGCAGGACAGGATGCATCTGTTAGTCTTCTCAGTCATTTCTGAATGCTATATCATTTCCGGCCGTTAAAATGTTCTCTATTCAATAGCCTTGTGTGTTTATCTGGACTATGAAAATTCAAACATTCAAACATTGTTTGTAATTATGAATTTCGCGGGTTAATTCTTATTTTTGATATAGTTGAGCTTTTGAGTCTGTATCTGATGATCATTAATTAATTAATACTTCAGTGTGAAACTCATTGATATATATTTTCCTTCATGAAACATATGCAATAGTTTAGTAAGATTTGCAACATCAAATTTGATTTGATGTTGCAAGACCACATTGGGTACAAATAAGTTACAATCACACATAATAGAATTTGGATCTTAGGTTATTGTTTTTCATGTTTTATCTGTTTATGAATGTAGGAAGCTTTTAGAGAATTCCATAAGGACAAGTTGAAGGTTTCAAAATATATGGCTCCCATATGCATTGGCAATGTGGTACCAAAAGCTTCTGCCGATTTGGATGAGGAGGAAATTAAAAAAGATTTTCTACAACTGAGAAAGATAGCTGAAGATATGGTATTACAATTATATTAATTTTAGTTTTATTTGTGGTTTCTGATGTTTGAAATATTTTTAAATCTTAGGATTTATTCAAGCCAAGCAAAGTTTTTTTCTCTCTTATTGTGGGACATTTGATTTTTTTTGAGATCCTGGCTTACATGACACTATATTACTTTGGAACTGGCTGGATACCCACCATGTTCTCTGTTCTTTTCTACACTATTGTGCAGGTTCGTTTCTATTAGCCAATCATCTTTGTTAATTGGTTTATTTCATATTCGGATGTTTGATGAAGTTTGCTGGCATTTCATTTTTTATGTTTATAGGCAGAGGCTGGCTGGAGTCAACATGATTTTGGTCATTTGTCAGTGTTCAAAAGTGTCAAGTGGAATAAGATCCTTCACTCATTTGTCATGAACTTTTTAAAAGTTGGTCAAATTTTGATAAAGCATATTTTTTACATCGATCATATTTTTTTCAATGTAACATAATAACATCGCTACAGGGTGCATCAGTATCATGGTGGCAACATTTGCACAACCAACATCATTCTAAACCCAATATTGTAAGTATTTGCAACTTCTAACAACATGTATGATTTAGCTTTGGATGATGATTTGAAGGATGATTTGTTATAGTCAACTAGCAATTAATGTCTCCCCCCCCCCCCCCCCGATCAATTACATAATGTTTGTGTTAAACATTTTCAAAATGACATCATTAGTGATCACTTGAATGTTTATTTTACATTTGCATATATTACTTTTTTTTAATTTTTCAAAAAATATGTTAATGATTCACTGATGTTTTGAACAAGCCACAGCAATTGCATCTCATGGTTTATTCAAATCAATATCCATCCAGATTGACATCCAACTTTATTCAAATAAGCATCAAAATTCATTCAGATTTACACTAAAATTCATTCAGATTAATAAAGATCCAGATGTTCGTTTAGAAAAAGTGTTTGTGCTTGGAAAAGAAATTCCCAAAAGAGTTAGTTTCAGTTTTTGTTCATGGGCTGTCCACAAATTGATGTGATTATTATTATATTGATTACAATTCGTTTTTCAGTAGTTGTTATGTAATGACTCTGATCACTCTCTTCCTATTTACAATCGTTACAGATCAACTAGGTGATAAAAGTGTACAAAACTTTTAAAAATAATTTGCGAAGCTGAAATTATTCAAATGAATTATTACATTTTAGTCACAATTAAACGTTGTTTTGAAAAATTTCATGTGTACACAAATGAAATTTCATGAGTTGGAAAGACACTAGGACCATCTATTATGTCTATTCATTCATTCATTCAATGATCCTCTGTAATCTTCCAACTTTTTTCTTCCAGACCCTCTTTCTCATCAGTACTTTTTTGATCAGTCTGTCGTCTGTCATTCTGTAGATGTGCCCAAAGATACCCAGCTTTCTTTCCTTGACACTTTCATACACAGTTTTTTGTCTTCCAAGTTGTTTTCTTATGGCATCGTTTCTTATCTTTTGTCTCCAACTGTCTATCTACCTATATAATACCTGGATGTTCAAAAGAATAATTGTTGCCATCATGCAGTAATAATCATCATTCTAGAGAGATGAAATGTATTATGAATAATATATTATGGCCTGTTTTTTGTAGGTACCAGAAGTAGTAGTAGCAGACTGCAAAATGTCCTTCATTTAGTTCTCTACTTTTGCTTAGGCGTTTTTATATTAGTCTTGCATGCTGTAATGTAATACAGGTGTGCTTGGCTCAACTAAACATGTTTTACCAGCAAACTTCATACTCTCTGCTGTGCATATTTTTTCAGAATTTATCAAATCAATATTGAATATCATTATTGTTATTATATTTTTATATTCGTGTGCATGCGTCGATTTGAACTTTTCTTCAGCTACAAAAAATTAGTTATAATAGTGCTATTTAATGGTCATAATAATAATGCAAGTATTTTTATTATATTTTTAGTATGTACTGTACCGTTTTTTTTATGAAATAGACCACGTTTATAAATAGTTTATTTATATTATTTGTGGTACAAAAATATTTGAAAAATTTTTCTCAAATCATCTGATTGGTGCTAAATAAGTATAAAAAGATTGTAAGCTTATTTTTTGGAAATTCTCACAGAGCTACCTTGTGACAGGTTGCATCATTACATATATATTGATATGTAGTTGTATGTATTCTATTGTATTCATTTTAGCTAGTTTTTTACTTTTTTTTGTATCACAATCTACATGAAGACCACACACGCACACACGCACGTACACATGATGCAATCTCTCTTATTAAAAGCCTGCCATACAAATCAATTACCTTCAGTCTTATGTTTCTCTTATAATATATGATATATCATAAATTATTAAGTTTTTTATTTTGTTGTTTATGTGAATGGTTGCATTGTGACCGTTATATATATATATATATATATATATATATATATATATATATATATATATCTTTTATGAAAAGATTTTATTACAAAATTTTTTTGATGCTACATTTTCTGAGAATTACATTTTTAATATGATTGGTTATTAAAGTACATTGAAATCATTTAAATGCCATATGCTGCAGGTTGCAGAGAACAAAAATAACATCATGCCATACAATTGGCAGCATAGATATTTCTTTCTCAGTGAGCCACACTTTTATCATTATTTTTTTAATATATTGTTATTGCTGTGGATATTGTGGTTGTTATCAATTTTATATGGAATGAGTAAACTTTAAATTTAGGTTTTGAAATGTTGTGAGTGAACGTTTATTTTTTAATTGTTTATTTAAAAGCTATTTTCAACATTTTCATTGATTTAAGAACTTAATTGTTTGTTGTTAGATTTCCATGTGTTGTTGTTGATTATAAATTGTTGTTTGTTGAAGCTCTCAATCCTATATAAATCATATTTTTGTTTTAAAGTTTTCAGTTATTTTTACTCACTTTCCTTCCATATTTTTTAATTTTTTATATAGGCTGCTTTCTTAAAATTTATGATCTTGGCTTAAAAATGTAATTTCAAAAGATTGCTTTTTTCACTGAATCTTGTCAGAAGTTGCATGAAAAGTTTTGGTAGATATTTGTTTGCATATTATTTTTTGAAATGATAGATTGAATTTACATTATGCAGTTGGTCCTCCTCTGTTGTTCCCTGTCTTCTTTCAGATGATGGTCTTCAAACATCCCATTTCCAGAAAAAACTGGCTGGTTGGTCCACATTTGATGTTTCTATAAATAAACAAACATAATCTCATACATAGTACATGTCGTGAGAGTTTTGAATGTATGCAACTTCTTCGAACGTTTTTATTTTAGCAAGTTGAATATATGAGTGCAATTAGTCATACGCAAATATAAGGGAAGTGTCTCTATGTAAGTTCAAACACACTTCACTTGAGCATTTATTGGCTAATTTATTTTTTAAACAGTTTCATTCAATCCTTGTTAATATTGCTGAGTATGCCTGTGCTGAAATAAACCTATTTTGTGAACTAGCTGGTTTGAATGCCTGGGTTCATATCCTGGGACTTTGTTAAATAATGACTGTTATATAACTAGATTGAATAAATTTGTGTTGTCTCCATGTTCTGTTCACATTGAGAAATAAAATGATATTCGCATATTATCTCTTATCTATCTCAGTTCAGTAGATATAACTTGCTGACTCAACAATGTTACTGATGATAAATGAGGATGGTGTTTGATGAGAATGATGATGTTGTTTGATGAGAATGATGATGTTGTTTGATGAGAATGATGATGTTGTTTGATGAGTATGATGATGAATTTACAAACAGGACGTCTTCATAATGTGTACGTTTTATTTGAAAGTTCTCATCCTCTACACCCCATTCTATGGAGTTCTGGGCACCTGCTTGTACTATTTTGTGGTCAGGTAATAATGGATATCTGCATTTTCATTGCTAAAAAATGGTGGACTATATTCTGAGTTCAATCATTTTTTGTATTTAATTTAATTATAATTTTTAAGTAATAGATGTTTTTCGTTTTATAAAATTGTAAAATGTGATTAAAAAGTATTTGATAATTTGAAATATTTGTTATCAAAATAAGCCACTGTCTGACTATTTGACCAGGAAGAGTTTCTATTGAGTGGCCATGATAAAACACTTCAATTACTTTTTATTAAGTACCTCCATCGAATGTGGACCCATGTTCTAATTACATAATAATACATTCTGGGTCTGTTACTGTTTATAGCCATGCTAACATCTCTTTAACGTTAAAAGCGTCTACATTTTTTACATATTATACTGAACAAAATTTGTTTCTTTATTACATATATAAAATGTTGCTCTTGAGATATCATTAATCATTATTATTATAACTAATCTATTTTTAATCCTACCTAGAACCGAAAACTTTGTTTCTTAAACGATTCATTGCTATTATTAACTGTATAAATATATTAATGTAGTAATACACAACAGTCCTTCTAATTATTGCTTAATATTACATCATATTATAGCTCAATCCTCCTCTAATAAATGTGTTAAATCCGGTTAAATCATTCAAAGTATTGTTTTTCTTGCAGATGTCTTGAAAGCCACTGGTTCGTATGGGTCAGTCAGTCGAATCACATCCCTATGGACATTGAAGATGATAAGGAGAGGCCCTGGCTGGCTCTCCAGGTTCACTCATTCATTTGTTCTTTCATTCATTCATTTATTTATTCACTCACTCATTAGCAGTCCGAGTTGTTCAACTCTGATAATCCAACATGAGTAATATTCATGCTGTAATATTGTATCTGTTGCTATCATTTAATGGCTGACACATCAGAAATAAGTTGATTGTTTTTCATGGTGAATCTAATAACAACAATTGCTTATTCATTAACGAAAAGTTCTAACTTGTTTGTTGCAGTTGAACGCCACATGTGATGTGGAGAAATCACATTTCAATGATTGGTTCACTGGGCACCTGAACTTCCAGATCGAACATCAGTTTGTGCATTTTATTGCTCTTCCTCGTTCCTTCTCTTGTATTGTTATGATCCCACAATAAATTTGAGAGTTTGATCAATTTCGATGGATAAAATGCAAATAAATCTTTATTAAGATAAATTTATTATTATGTATTCAATGACTGATCAAATCGATACGAAACTTTGATGGCAGTTGTTTCCCGACCATGCCTCGACATAACTTGTACAAGATAGCTCCGTACGTTCAATCACTGTGCAAGAAGCATGGAATCGAATACAAGTGCAAGACACTCGCTGGAGCTTTCTCCGATATCGTCAAGTTAGTTCGTGCTTCAAAGATGGTTGGTTGGTTAGGTGGTGAAAAATTTCCCTTAACAGATTTTATATCATTTTTCGGTTTTTAATTATTAGAATTATATTAAATATTATTAAATATGTAGTTATATATTGTATACTATTATCATTATTATTTTATATGGTTGTGGATTAACTTTTATGAAACTGACAAATTATTAATAAAATGTCGAAATAATTTTCAGATCATTGAAGCACTCTGGTGAAATATGGTATGCCCATTACCAATCTTACCATTACAAATGAATCCCCATTTTATTATGTTCTACCTTTTTTAATTTTTCCTTTTATTTAGAAGGTTCTCACTTTTTATTTTGGTAATGTAATTAATATTTTATTATTAAGTTCATCAATTTTGTTTATTCCTATTTTGATTTCCCAATTATGTATTATGGTGTGATGTATGTTTCTTGAAGGTGTTGTCTATTGACATTTTATTTATTTATTTGTTTCTTTATTTAATTATTTTGTTAAAGGACGAAATTGAATTAAATTCCAGTGTGTATATAAACTTATAACTAATTTTTTTATCGGTTCGTATGTTACATGATTCGAGTTCTGTTTAAGATTTGTTATTTGAAATGACACATTTGATGATTGAAAGATGACTGAGTATAATGTAGTTAGTGACCGACCTAATCGAGGTTTGTGCTTAGACAGTTGTGTTATGTTTTTTCATCAGCAAGGCTTCCAAAGTGTTGACGGAAAGCTATAGCTGCGATATTCAAGTTAAATAAATTTTTTCAAATTTATTCATTCAACATTTACAAAAGGATCTTGATATATGTTATAGTTTGCGATGGTTGAGTTTAATTTTTGAATCCAAATTGTCACCACATTCACAGAAGAAAGATCTTTACGTATGTCCGTGTGTGCGCATCAAAACTTTTAACTGCGTGTGATCCTCACATCTGGTTCCTCTCAATATTTGCATCTATGTTCATTTTTGTATTATGAAGTCTGGGCGTTTGTTAACTTTTGGTTTTCATTTGTTGACGCTTGCGGAAAAACTTCTTGGTTTCACTGGTTCAATCGTTCGTCTAAGCATTGATGTTTTATGTTTGCTCAAAACATCTCGAGTAACATTCTCATTTTCTCAACAAAAATCCCCATCAATTTCTAGTCTGCTACAGCTAGTCTGAGATGACCCACTCATCTTCTGGTGATTGGTCTGGTACGCTGAAGATAACCTGCTACTCAACAAAATTTAATTTTATTACTATTTTTCATCGTGGTTAACAAACTCGTATCTCATAATTATGTTTAGACTGGATGCACGTCGAACTCGAATGTTAGTGGTAAGAAATTTAAAATTATACATAACTCATTAGTAAGAGAGGTGCGTCGACACTCGGTGATGGTTGAATTGGGCGAAAATGTTATTATTTGCTGAAGAAGAGGTAGGTGTGTGTATCCCGGTGTTTATTATTTATATAGATTGGACTTGATGTTTTTTCCATTAGGCCGCAGTATTTGTTTAAGAGTCAGTATGTGTAGTCTGGCTCGATTGAACGTTGTGTCCGTTTTGTTAATTAAGAATGAATACTTGTATGAACTAAAACTGGATATTAAGAATGAATACTTGTTTGAACTAAAACTGACTTTTTTCTACTTTTTTGTTTTGTTTTTAGCATCAACTTTTTTATTACTAATAAAATCAAATTATGGTTATAGAAGTATATATATTTCTATATATATATATTAATATACATATAATTGTAAGTATATTTGTGAACGTTTGCGTTCATGTTAGACGACCACAATGTTTTTGTTTAGTTAGCTGTTTAGAGGGATCAATAGGGGATACATCATTTTTTTCATTTACTTTGGAAATTATCATATTTTTTTATGTTTGAATTTCATGTTACGATATCAATGTAATATCAATTGAGTCATTCTATATGAATGTTTGATGAAGTTATTGATTTTCGTCACGTTTTGTGGATTTTGATATGCTGGCAAACATTTTCCATTACATATATAGTGCGTTTTTTTTTCAAAATTTCAATATTTTCAGTCGTTTAATCCCTGTGTTATCTATGCTTCTGTATTGTTTAATTTTAAATCTGATAACATTGTTAAATAAATGACATATTCTTCACTTTATACAAATCGATTAATTCCGATACTTATATTTAGTAAGAACGCTGGCGATTTAAACAAAAGATTGAAATGGATACTGATATATAATAATCCATTTTGATTCAACTGATTCATCCTATCTATTTTCTCATCAATATATTTTGCAAACGATATAATTGTTAGTTCAATTTAGAAAGTGTTAATGGATAAATTTTGCATTCCCTTTTTTGCGATTTGACGCTTCCATGTATTTATTATTTATATTTGTTGATGGAATGAAGAAATTATGTTTTCTTTATAGTTATTGTTTTAAAATATCTATCTCAGTTTGCTACAACGCTTAAGTTTTTTTAATCAGCTTTTCAGTTTTTCTTAAATCTTTTAACCGAGATATTATTCATTTTTGTGTTATTTTTCAAGTTAACGCATCTATATATTCAGATTTTTAGGTTGGATTGATTAGTATGTACGAGGCATACAACAGTAATTTTATTAATTTCGTAAACTGGTACATTCAATTTTTATTCTATTACATTTTTTTATTTGATATTTCTGACCATCATTTCATATCCAATAAAATGTTTGTTGTCCGCTATTGGATTTTTTTGCGAAATATAGTTATGAACGCAAAAACATTACGAAATATATCAACATAACCTGTGGCATTTAAATAAAAATTATTAATAAAAATTTAAATGAAAAAGATGAGTGGTTCGTATAAATGAAATACAGCAGCAATAGAGCTGAAAAGCAGAGGATTAGGCTTACTTAACATGGGATGTTTAGTCGAACAGTGTTGTTCGTATTGGGCGAAGTTACGTGTACGAGATTGATTAAGACAGGTTGACGTTTGTAAACATTGCACGATGTAAGTAAAGTAACATAGTATATATATATATATATATATATATATATATATATATATATATATATATATATATATATATTTGATACATTGATAGATTCCGATTTATCCATTAGTATTCATTCATTTACATGAGCCGATGTTACTTGTTTATTATTATTTTATAAATGAACTTCAAATCAAATGTTAAATGTAAATCTAATATTCTAATGTTGTACTGCACACACAACATAAGTGTAACGGTAATTTAATTTTTTTTTGTATTGCACCGCAAAACTCAAGAACTAACTGTTCAAGTCCAAGATATTGATAATATATTTATAATTTATATTAATAATAATAATAACTTATAAAATAAAACGATTTCTAATTCAACTGCAAATAAATAACAATAATAAAATAATCATAGAAGTTCTTAATTTAATTTTAATAATAGTTCAATTGATTTGATTTGAAGCCAACATGTTATATAATAACATTGAATCACCTAATTCTGATAACGTATTTATAATTCAGAATTCTTGTAAGTCAACTTTTGTTAATTGTTACATTATCTTTTCCTTATTTAATCAAATTGATATGTTTTTATTTGAATGATATAATTAGGTATATAAATATATTTATTGAATGCTAGTAAAAGTCCATAATTAATACAGTAATTTATGAAATCTGTCCAACGCTAGAAATTCTGTAGATTTCATAAATTACTGCATTAAATATATTAATTTATATCAATATGACAATTAAATTGCATATAATAATTTCAAAAACATTTAATTTTTGTTACATTATTAATAAGTTAAAAGTAAGTTATTTTTATTAACTCAGCATTCTTAGTTGAACCATCCAATCATGAATACCTCTCAAAAAGAATTGACATATGGCACAACAAAACATCCCAATGCTCATTTGATTCTTTACCTGTGAGTAAAAGCTTCCATAAATTAATTTTTAAATTTATTCCAATAAATCTCTTGATCAACTTATATATTTTTTATTAAAGTTTTTGTTCCAACAAAAAACTGACAAAAGATTCATTTAATTTAACTTTAACAGTTTAGTTTAGCAGATCACACAATGTTAAATTAAGAACTTAAGAAAACTTCATCATTACTGAACTAGTTTTTACTTATTGATCACCTCACTAACTCACTAAGTCATCATTTAGTCTATTAATAAGTCACCAAATATATTAATAATCATTAAACTTTTTCACACACAGGCCTAGCCTTTATCTATCGATCACCTCACTAACCCACTAAGTCATCATCTAGTCTATCAATTTGCCGTTACTTCATTTATATTCCATCATTAATTACTTTTCTTTTATTTGTCTTATTATTATTTATTTTATTCTAACATATTTTATTTTCATGTTTTATCATTTCTCTTCCTCACTTTTTGTATTTATTTTCTCACTTATTTGTTTAATTTTGTTTCACTGCCTTGCATGTTGTTACAGTTTCTGCGTCTGTCAGATCCTGATTTTTAAAGAATAATAAAAAAAAAAAAAAAAAATTTTAACTGATAGTGAAATGAGGACCAACTTTATTTCGTATTGTTTTGATAACATCAAACTTAATGTCATTTCTTTGCAGGAACCAATTCAGTTGTACATTTTCTCAATGTTGGATTCTTGGAACCTTCTTAAAGTGTGTGAAGTTTGTAGAACGTGGGAGAGATTGGGTTCAGACGAAGTTCTTTGGAGGAAAAAGTTGAGTAGAGATGTGAAGAAGTGGAATGTGCTTGGCAACTCATTTAATCCTGATACCATGTTGAATATGAGCTACAAAGAAGTGTTAGTACATTTATCTCCTTAAATATATTTCATATTCATTTCATAACAAATAGTTATCTCGAAAACCTGATCAATATCTCCATGATAGTTTTAAATATTCATATTTATATTTGTCTACAATGCAATTAAGAGATGAAAGTGTGATCAAGTTGGCAATGATGTGATAAAACAAAACCTAATTTTTATAAAATCTAGAAGATATTCTACCACAAAAATTTAACTGATTTTGAAGCCTTTACAAATATACAAACAATTTGATATTGATATTTTCGTTTATTCCAAACTGAACGTGGTATTACCTTCAATAGACTAAGATACGTGGAGCAACCAGGGTTGTTAACGCTACTCATGAAAAGAAGAGCCGCGACTGCAAGTGAAAAGTAGCGCAGCTATAGCTATCGCTTCTCGAATAAAAAAATGGCGCCAATGTTGCCACCGGTACCGCTACTTTTTTGAACTATTAAGTGTTGTAGAATAATTTCTCTCTTATTCCATTTTGGTCGAAATCTTCTGCTCCATTGTTAATGCGTTATAAATCAAATCGTTTCATCGTTAGTGCGTCATAAATCGAATCGATTTTCTAAAATGTTCGCAATTTCACAAAAAACATTTTTGTGTAAATGATTTAAATACTCTAAAGGTTAAAAAGAAAGGTCAATTACACTCTTCCAAAGTTCTGAGGATTCAACAGAGCGCACAAACATCGTAAATGAATACGTGCTAAACGACGCATCACACACGAAACATGTGATAGGCGGGAATCTTTTTGTCACATTCAAACCCGGTTACTGTGAAACGACACCAGCCGACCTTAACCATTAAACCATCACGCCTCTCTAAACAAAAAACTTTATGTTTCGTACTGAAAGAAGCAGATACCACATTTAAACTTTACCAAAATCACTACTGCTTAATGAATGTAGCAGCGCTGTTCTCCGCTGTAGACAACCCTGACGAGGACTAAATGAGATTGAGTTAAAATAAGTAACATTCTCAATTCGCTGATATTAATTTTTTAATCAAGAGTCAGCTTACTCGTTCATTCTTCATTTTCAACAGATATATGTCTTGCTGTCCATCTTTGAAAAGACAAAAGTTGCCACTAATGCATCAGATTACAAAAGCACTAAGATCATTGGCCTATATGATAAACAAAAAAGTTGTTATTACCGTGTCAATGTTTATAAAAAAAATTTAAGTCATCCTATAATTAACCTTTGCGAATTTGATAAAGGTACCAAAGCTAGCCATGTTTGGTCCTGGACTTGAGTCAAAAGGTACCAAATTAGTCCGAAACTTACTTCAAGATAGAACAAACCTATTTGAATTTATTTCTTTATTTCCCGGAAGATTTGAAGGTCGGTTCACGTAATAAATTTATACAAAATTAATATCTTATGCGTGAAAACTGGCTAAAATTTTTTTAAATATGTTAAAACTTCTTTGAACAACAGGAGTAGGTGGAGGCATAAGATTAAATTTGAACCCATACTCTCTGGAGTTCGACCTCATAACACTTTACACAACAAACCAAAATGAGCGAGAAACCAGATCAGCCACGGAGAGGGCATTGCAAAACAGATTGTTCGCCAATCAAGAACAAACGAAACTGCAAAAAGCTATTAAAGATTTGTGCAAAACACTTGATGGGTTGATTTACGTCGTTGATGCCCACTGCACAGATGAAGATCGTAAGTCGATGAAGTTAACAATAAAAGGAATTCATTAACATACAAAAATATTACGCAAAAATTGCAGTATTATGTGGTCTGCCGGAATTATTAGCTCTCTCAAACGAAATCCTCATCCCGTCACAGATGCCTCTCCTTGTTCTTTTGTGCTCCAAAGCTGGAAATATTCAGCACAGGTAATTCAAAATCATTTTTGAATAGTTTTACATCGAATCAAGCTTTATTACAATTTACATAGTTTAGTTTTTTTACTTAACCTTTCTGCTTGTATATTTTTGTTTTTCAAGCTTAAACGATCAAAAAAAAGTTTTTTTTAAACAAAAAATATCCGTTTTTGAATGTTCAAAATGATGTTTTACAAAATTTGATTTGTTGATTGATATGTTGCAGATCTAGTATTGATGTCATCAGGTTATTGCAACTCTCAAAACTCACGCGACCGTGGCAAGTTAGTAACTTTCCAATGCAGTTATTTGAACAAGATTTTTACAAAATAAATTATATTTTGTCATTTCATAGAAGTTATTTTACGCTATGTTGGAGCTTGATTTACGAGATAAATTTTTAAAATTAAGGTTCACCACTGCATAATAGAAGGAATGCTTGGGTTGGAAAATGCATTTCATTGGATAATTGAAGCCAGTAGATGCAATTCACCTTATTAACAGTTTTGAATTTTTATATTTACAACATTTGTATTTCAGAGGAGATTTCTTGTAGTTTTTTAAATTTTATTTACTAGTATTTATCATATTGTAGTGATAAGTAACATTTTATAGTTTTTGATATTTCCTTTTTAAAAAATTAAATATTGGAAATTCACAGAAATATAAAAAATCGCTAACATTAGGTCACCAATGTTAACTAAACATCTACAAACAATTACAGCTGTCAAAATATTTTTACAAATAAATGTTATAAACGCAAAATGTTACATAAAACTTTTACAAATTTAACCATGATTAATTTGCCTTGTTTCAATGTTAAATTTTGATAGCACAGAATATCTTTGAAAGAAGCAAACTAATTTTGACAAAAAAAAAACGTCAAAAGCAGAACTGTTGTATATAAAATTCATTTGGCAATGTTGGCGTTGTAAACAACAGCAGATATAACTCCAAGGGTCATTCCAGTTAGACCTCCGAAAATTGGACACTTCTTGAAAATTAAAGGAAATAAAACCACACCTGATGTTGCCCCGAAAACGAAGCCTCTATCAACTTTTACCTGATTTCTATTGTATCTCAACCTGTAGCATCTATCATATATAGATTCGTCAGATGCATTTATAGAATTTAATCTGGCAAATGTCATGGCAGGCCCTAAAAAACAGCCTAGTATTACCCCGTATTTGCCAAACCTTGTTTTAAATTAATTAGTTTATAATTAAATAAAAGTATTTCAGTCATTTAGAAATACAACATATTTTCAGCAGATGTATTAGTAATATAATCCCAGACAAGCTGTTCTTTACATAATATTAATAATTTTTAATTTTCTAATTGATCCAATCTGCATTTAAGTTGAACTTCGAAGTTAATGTTTTTTATTCTACCAATCTTTTCTACATGAACAAAACTAATGAATATAAAAGCCACATTATAATAAAAATTTTTAAAAATTTGTATGCCATATATATATATATATTATAATATAGATAGCCTTATCTAACTAAACACAAGCCATTTCATTAATAATACACAAGTCCCTTTATTGCAAGTTTCAATATTATAAGGTTATTGGTTATTAGAATTAGCATTAGGTGATACAGATCTATTTACTTAAATATTAATTAACTATTATTCCACTTCTGACTTTAGTTAACAATTATATTATTTACTTGGTACTTGAGCTTATTAGGGCCTGGACATTTCTTTTCTTGGGATTTAACAGGGCAACAAGAGGCCCCAAGGCTGTTCCAAATATTCCAAACACTTGAACGCACTTGAACGTGACATGGGTGTTTAACTCAACTTTTGGATATGGAATATCTTTCATTTCATCTTCACTCAGTTGAAAGCCAACAAGATTTTGCAGCCATAATGAACCCATTTTCTTGATTAATTTGAAATAACTTTCAATTTCATATGTGACATTAAATAACATATGATTAATTAAAAACATTTTGTTACAGATAACAAAATGTCAATCAAGTTTCACTGTAAAACAAACCTATTCCCACCAGCTTCAAGTCATCAACGATCACTTTAATTCGCTTCACCTTTTAAGTTCAATATTCTTAAGTGGGTGCATTTGCTCAAAACACATGTTTTAACGAATTTAACGTTATTTTACTGGTAACTAATTGTTTTTGGTTTACATTTTTTATATAAATATATAAATAAAAAATATATATATATGCATATTAAACCATATAATTAGAATAAATATAACGGCCTTCGCTCATTTTTGACGGTCGAACAAGGAGCTTACTTCCGGAGGGAAATTGGAGGGTAATTTTTTATCGCCCAAGTCAAAAGTTACGATCGTGTATTTACTAATTTCGAAATATTGTTTTTATTTAAAATTTCAAAATGTTTTAAAAGGTGATACTAGATGCTGTTTTAGGATAGATATTGCTGTATGACGGTTAAGTATCTTTTTGTATTTTAAATAAAAAAAATTTTTTGTGAACCACCAACAACACTTAACTTAACTCATTAATTAACTGTAACAACACTAAACGACGACTAATTAGTAATTAAATTACTAAACTCTAATAATTAAACTAAAACTAAACTCTACTGATTTTAATTACTAATTGAAATAAATAACAGATAACACTAACGAACATTAACAGATTAGACTACTAGAAACTACCAACTACTACACTAACGACTAACAGCACTTGTTCCTAAGATCCTAAATTCTATTGCTTGATTGGTTTTAAAATTTTTATTTACAATGCTTAGGTCTTGGAATAAAAAATATACTAAATTAAATAAATATATTAAACAACTTATCAATCAATTTTATAAAATAAACAATTTTGTAATTTGTTCAATTCAAGCTTCAAACTCCCCAAGCTAACTTGCAATTTAATTAAAATTTATTAATTATGAGTGATTCAAACTAAATTTTTTTTCATTTAATGTTTTACAAAATATTCCTCATTCTTAAATTGTAGTACATGTTGTTATTAAATTTATTAAAGATAATGTGTAATTACAGTGATTCATCAATCCATGATTTGTTAGATCATGATCATTCAGTTTTAAAGAATCACCATAACCAATGAGGTTTGTAAAAATTGTACTTTTAATTTATTATATTTTATGCACTTAGAATGTTGGAGTTCGAGGTTGAAGGAGTGGTAGGAAGGGGTCGTCCGCGACTGGGATGGAGAGAGCAGGTGGAGAAGGACAGGGTGAAAGCGGGGTTGCGTGATACTGAGGCGAGTGACAGATGTGGATGGCGTCGAGGGGTATTTCGGTTTCATCATAGGTAGCCAAACGGCAACCCCCGATCTCGGGGAAAATGTCTTCTAAACGTGTGTTGTTGTTGCACTTAGAATGTTGTGCTATTAATTATTATCATTAATTTATTAAATGCTGTGCATACCTATGGCAAGTAAATAAAATAATTAAGCATAGAAATAGCCACAATCAAATTAATTTATATAGGCATGAGTATAATTTGGATAATAATAATTAAAAATATCGGCATCATTGAAAATGGATAAAGTCATAAATAAAAAAATAAATCATAAATTGCTAAAAATAATAGTTCCAGTAAGATTTTGCCTTACACCTACATCTTTTTTTCATTCTTATATTATAATAAATGTTTGTTATCAAATATATCAAGGATTGATTTCTCAATCCATGACTGGATTGAATGTCATGATCCTACAGTTCCAGAGGATCCCCATCACCATTAGTCAATAAGGTTTGTAGAAATCACCCCAGGCATACCATCAATGTTTTGTAGCCACCTTTTAATGTAGTGTTAATAAAATGACATTGAGAATAGTTATTTAAAACAATCTTATTAAAATTATTGAACAGGTATGACAAGATTACTTTCTTAATGTCCTAGTGTGAGGAAGATGTAAGCCACTTGTCCAAAGATAATCATATGCCTTATGCCCATACAAATGCAGTGTCAACGCGAATGATTTTTGATCAGTCATATGTTCTAATTTTTTTAAACTTTTCCAGAAATTTTTCTGTTAATTTATTTGTTACATTAAATACTTGATGTGTTTTTCATATAAAAACTTGATTATGCCAATTTAGTTAACTTGTTAAGCATTAATATAAAATTGACTCTACTTGTAATGGTGATTGGTATGATGATGATGATCCCAGTCCTAAGCAGGGTTTATTATTCACAATGTCATTATGCCCTTTCTAAGTTTTAATAAAATACATGGAATATTGTTGAATGCATTTTATATTTTTTGTATAGATAAGAATGTTGCAATGTACGATGATGATGTGAATTGCTTCCTTGTGTAACTGATGACATAAATATAACTAACTTGAAAACATGGGAATGCTTTCTTCATCATTACCTTCCTTTCTCCATCATAACCCTTATAATCTTTATTACAGAAATGGTCACTGCATATTCTTGCATTTTTTGATGGAAGCCATTTGAAATCATTTATTTCCTGTCTGATGCACTTAATCCAATCGTTTTGCATTTTTACATTTTGAGGAAATCTGAAATTTTATAAACTGTTACAGAAACTTGTGCATTTCTTAAGTATTGCTTTTATTAATAATAAAATGGTAATCCATGATAGCATTATAAATTATAATAGTCTATAAAATAAAATATATGTAATTGTAAAACAAAATAGTTCTATTCAATGAGTATAGGGATATAGTTACATTTATTTTAGTGTGAAGTTAATTTGAAAATAAACCTGTGAAAAGATGCATCGGAAATTTTCTCATTTCTATTTATTATTAATGCAATTTTTAATGCAACAGGTAGGCATGTTTGTGTATAGCTACGAAAATGAAAATTTACTTAAAAACTAAATTATTTTATCTGACACGAAAATTAGTACAGAAACAAAAACGAAAGAATAAATGACAATATAAAAATTTAAACATTGATTGAAAGAGTTTATTCTAATTATATGGTATGGGCAATTCGTTGCGAAATCGTTGGAGGAAATGGTGTCAACAGTAGTTATTTTACTGCATGGTAGATAATCAGCCGGTATAAAGGTTTTATTCAATTCCTATCAAATAAATTTGACAAAATATCATACACAGGCAGAACTAAATAAAGAAATAGATATATACACGTAGTTATAATACATTTATAATGTTGTATTTACACATTCAAATTGTACAATTGTGTTATGGTGTAGTCTCAAATTATTTTGAATTTTCTCAAAAAATTTTAAACGTTTTACTACACTATAAATACTAGTTATTTTTATCAACAATTTAAAAATTTTATCAATAATTGAAAAAAAAAATTTCAAATTGATTTCATTGCGATATCGATAATGATTTTTGTGACCTAACTGATTAAAAAGCATCAAAGAAAGTTAAAATAGGATGGAGAATTTGTTATATTGGGATATTCGTTTTAAAAAGCGAGCAAAATTTTAATATAAAAGCGCTTATAAATCTATGCATATTGGCTCAGCTTGGCTTGGCTCGGCTTGGAATCGGATGTTAAGCAAGGTGTGGTCTCAAATTATTTTGAATTCTCCCCGAAAAATTTGAACTGCGTGCTTACATATATAGCACTGATTACTGTTGCTTTTATAATGAATTTTTATTATATATATATAAAGTGACTGGAATCCATATATACAAATAATTAAATTATATTATATTAGATTATATGTTTATATGAAAAGCAATATAGCAGATTCAACCAGCCAACCAGAAAGTTTCGAAGGCGTTCGTTCGATGACTTCAATTTAGTACGGTTAGCATTGTGGTTAAGACTGTATAATAGTGCAGTATATACATTAAACAAGTTTTTTACTGATGCGAATGATTGAAATGATGAGAATGTATGGTTGAAACGAGTATAAATAGAGGAGCTGAGACAACATGAAAATCAGATCAGCATTCTGCCTCGCTTGAAGCAGTCTGTCTGATCTCATTTATTTTATTTTTAAAATTTTTTTATTTATTTTATTATATAGAGTTATATAGAGTAATATAGTGTTATATAGAGTTATATAGAGTTTGCATGTTTGTAGGTGGTTTGAATGTTTGTAGGTGGTAATTTTTTAATTTTAGGTGGGTTCTTTAACGGTTGCTCATACATACATACATACATCATGTTTGTTTGTGTGGTAGTATTTTATGTTCTGTTTATTGGGGGGGTAATTTAATGTTGTTCCGACAACATGGCCCCAAAATGGCTAGGTCAATTTTTGGAAATTTAAGTTAATGAAGCATAGGTAGGTGAGGTAAAAATTAATTTATTATATAGGTAGGCTGGGGCATAAGGTAATTTAGTTACATAGGTAGGTTAGGGACTCCTATTCTTTTACTCTACTTGGTGGTATGATTTTTCTTTTGTGTTTTTGTTTTGTTTTGTTTCACATCATACATTCAGCAGGTACGCGTGGTTCCTTGTTTTAGTGGGATTTGTATTGATTGAATGTGGTAGTATGCATGGTTTTATAGAGTTATATAGAGTTATATAGAGTTATGTAGAGTTATGTAGAGTTATGTAGAGTTATGTAGAGTTATATAGAGTTATATAGAGTTATATAGAGTTATATAGAGTTATATAGAGTTATATAGAGTTATATAGAGTTATATAGAGTTATATAGAGTTATATAGAGTTATATAGAGTTATATAGAGTTATATAGAGTTATATAGAGTTATATAGAGTTATATAGAGTTATATAGAGTTATATAGAGTTATATAGAGTTATATAGAGTTATATAGAGTTATATAGAGTTATATAGAGTTATATAGAGTTATATAGAGTTATATAGAGTTATATAGAGTTATATAGAGTTATATAGAGTTATATAGAGTTATATAGAGTTATATAGAGTTATATAGAGTTATATAGAGTTATATAGAGTTATATAGAGTTATATAGAGTTATAT